AATCATCCAAGAATCTCCACACTTGGAGAACACCTAATTCTCTCTAGATTTCATCTATCTAACTCTCTTATAACGAACTACAATTGGCTTGATCCCTTCAAAAGAGTACGTAGGCAGCCTTTCTTAAGGTTCAGTTGTTTCTTAATAAACATTCAAAAATCCCCTCTCGAGACCTAGAGAAAACTAAGCAATCTTATTGTTCTTAGCTCTCGATTTTACCTCCATAAAAGTTTAGGTCGGCGTTCTTATTCCAACGACTTAAACCACTATGTACCTTCTCAAGCACCGGCTTATTCATAATAAAAGATCTCTCTTTAAACCCATAAAACTCTTGTTCGTTCTTAGGTCGGATTTTAGTTATTACATCCACCTGCAACAGTACGAAGCTGTAAAATGTTTTTTGTATAATTGTTATCAAACGCAAACAATTGATATCATCTATAAAAGTTGCATCAGTAGATGATAGTGAATGAACCAATCAACACCTGAAAAAACATATAAAATAGAACAATAATATATTTTAATTAAAAAATACAATAACATAGCAAACATCAAATTAAAAATACACGTAAATAAGATCATAAATTATTAAAAGAATAAAAAAATCCAAAAAATATTTTTTAAAGAAACTTAACAAAACATAAACTAGTGATTTAAAAATCTAGTATCATTAAATGCAATATTATTCGTTGCATAAATATTTGTAGTTAACAAAAAAATTAAAATAACGTAATTATTTAAAAATCAAAAATCAACACAACAATAACACAAGTGTCTCTCCTGAAGATGACACATCAGCTTTTTCAAACTTTCTAAAGTTAGCATCTCAGCAAAAAAAAACACCAGTCAAAACATTTTATTAATACACATCATTTACTAACTTTTATTATTTTTAACTTAAACCCATTAAAAACCTAAATATTTTTCTTTGTTAATCTTTGTTAACCCAAGCCCAAATAATTAATAACAACAAATAAAAAAATGGTTTTATTTTTTACCATCCCCAAATCTAAATAATAAATAACAACAAATAAAAAATTAAATCTTTGTTTTATATTTTTGCCAAACAGAAACTCAAATAATAAATAACAGCAACAAAAAAACAAAAATTTCTAACTACTGTATGTGTTTGCTTGATAGAGAGTCATCATCAACTATGCTTCCATAACAACAACGCAAAAAGCATTATGTTATAAGAAGCTCACACATCAGCAAAAATTTGATCCAATAAAAACATAACAATAATACATATCATTAACACACTAATAAAATCAGTTTACTATTTTGCTGACCCAATAAAAAGTCCAAAGTTTACAAAAAACTAGAAGTCGAAAGCAAATGAGGAGAAGCTCAGACCACTACAGCTTGGAGATTCGCATTTCCGGTGGTTAACGAGAACAAAGTTTCTTGGGTTTGGCGGGAATCGAGAATTTATAGGCTTCCGTAAGAAATTGTGATTTTCAATTTTGGTAGGAAAACATAATTTTTCGGTGATGGCTGAAAAAAAACGAATTCTCAGGTTTGGCAGAAAATGTGAATTTTTGGTTTTGGTGAGAAAAATAAATTTGACTTTGATGCGAAAACAAAATATCTTAGTTTTAACAAACAAAATGTGAGGGAAATGCAACTTTTCAAATTTGATGAAAAATACGATTTCTCGGTTTTGATAGAAAATGCAAATTTTCGACTTTTGATGGATAATGTGATTTCTTGATATTCGCGGGAAAATGTGATTTCTTAGTTTTTGCGGAAAACACAATTTCTCAGGAGATAATGCAATTTTGGTATTCGTGGAAAATTGTAGTTTATCGGTTTTTGTAGGAAGGTGTGATTCTTGATTTAACGAGAAAAATAATATTTTTTTTTTGTTTTGGCAGGAATAGACGATTTATCGATTATTGCGGGAAATTATTTTTTTCGCTTTTGACAGAAAAATATAGTTTTTTGGTTTCTGCAAGAAGATGAAATTATTTAGTTTTAGTGAAAAAATTTGACTTATCTGTTTTGGCGAGAAAACACAGATTCTCGCGGAAAAATGTGATTTTTTTCTTTTTGCAAAAAATACAATTTCTTTAATTTTGGTAGGAAAATAAAATTTCAGGTTTGACGAGAAAATATTTTTTTTGGTTTTGGCGGGAATATGTGATTTTTCAGTTTCGTGGAAAAATGAATTTTTTTGTTTTGTTGGAAAATGAAATTTCTCAGTTTTTGTAAAAAGATTAAATTTCTCTGTGCTAAATCTTCAAGTTATAATATGTTTAAAGTAACCAAAATTGAATTATTTAACTTCAACTAAATTGATATTTCAAATGTTCAATCATAACTTTATATTTAGTTCTAAAACAATATCAATGGTTTTGATATGTATGTTATTGATTATAGTTTGGTAGTCTTAGAAATATATATTTATAATAAATATTTGATAAATAAATAAATTTTATAATTCAAAATAATCATATTAATTAATATTTTTTTTAAATAGTAATTTGCTTTGTATAATTTCAAAAGAGGATTAAGTGACAGTTTAGTAGAGAAAATAAATTACATTTGCCATTAGCATGAAGGTCCTTAACAATGTAGTATTTTATTCTTACATATACATTTATAGATAGTTAGCTAAACAAATTTGATAGTAGATTAAAAAGAATTAATGATATATAATATTTATTCAGATTTAAAACATATAAATACATAACTTAAGCTAATAAAAAATAAATATAATACTCATTTATTTTATAAAAATAATTTTATTATATTAAAAATATATACAAAATCTAGAAAAATATCCTGCAGCGTAGCGCGGGTAAATACCTAGTGTTATTAATTAGATAACTAAGTAATATGAAAAGCTGATTTCATTCTATTATTGCTACGTATAATCTATTTAAACCAATTTCTTCTGGTTAAATCTATTTTTAATTTTTTTTATAAATTATTTTGTCTATCAGTATGAGTGAAATCCCATTTTTAAATGCGATTTCACTATTTTCAACTTATTAGGCTAAACGTTTTACTATAAACACTTGGAAAATGGCTATTGGTTATAATTCCAGAGTAATTTTTCTTCATACTATGCTATTTTACCATTTCATACTTGATCAGTCATAATGTTTTTTGAGATAAAAAAATACTTGGAGGACGACTATTGGTTGTGACTTGAGAGTTATTCTTCCTAAAATGATGCAAATTCACTATTACACATTTTATCAATCAAATTTTTTTGTTAGATGAAAAAACATATGGAGAACAGTTATTGGTTTTGACTTCATAGTTATCTTTTTTAAAATGATACAAATCTACTATTATATAATTTACCATTCAAAACTTTTGTTAGATGAAAAACACGTTGAAAAACGGATATTGGATATGACTTCAGTGTTATTTTTTTTTAAGATGGTGCAAATTCAGCATTAATTGACGGAAATATAACTATGAAAAAGGCAACTGTTGAATCTTTAAAAACAATCAATTTATTTTACTTCTTGCATTATAGTAACCGACTAGTTTCAAGTTATGATCGGTAAAATTATAATTAAGAAATAACAGAAAATATAATATTTTCTTCTATTTAAAGATTAACTATGAAGGTTTTGGGCTTTAGGCCCAAAATTTCTTTTAATGTATTGTTTTTTTTTTAATTTTCAATCTAAAGAATATATTTTTTTCAGATGGGTTTTGAACACGAGATACAAGGCAACAAACCTCTTATACAGGCCACTGTGACTTTGGTAAGAAAAATATTATATAGTTCCAGCCTATTATTTTCATATTATAATTATTGATGAGTTAACTTTCTGATATTTTTACAATTACAATACATGAAATCTAATAACATTGAGAAAATCCAAATCATTCGATGCAAACTCATTCATTGCATAAATATTTGTACTTAATAAAAAATTAAAATAACATAACTATTTAAAAAATCAAAAATGTTATTAGTTATATAACAAAATAATATGAAAAGATGATTTCATTCAATTGTTGCTACATATAAACTATTTAAAATAATTTGTTTTGGTTAAATCTATTATTTGTATTTTATTTAATTGCCAATATTTTTTAGTGGAATCACAGTTTTAGATGCGATTCCACTATTTCACAACTTATTAGACAATTTTTAAAATAATTTCAGAGTTTTCATACTGTATGATTCTACCATTTCATACCTTATCAGTCATAATATTTTGTGAGATAAGAAAATTAGTGGAGAAGGACTATTGGTTGTGACTTGAGGGTTATTTTCCTAAGATGATGCAAATCCACTATTATACAATTTACCAATCAACCTTTTTGTAAGATGAGAAAACGCGTGGAGAACGTCTATTGGTTATGACTTGAGGATTACTCTTTTTAAGACGATACAAATTTATCATTACCCAATTTACCAATCAAAACTTTTTGTTAGATGAAAAACACATAGAAATTGGGTATTGGTTATTCAATTTATCATTCAAAACTTTTGTTGTAGTCTAGTTGATGGAAAATGAATTGTAAAAAAGGCAATAAAGGTGTTGAACCTATAAAAACAATTACTATCGTTGTAGTCGGAATTCCAATGATGTATGGAATATCTTATAGATGAAAAATACGTGGAGACCAACTATTGGTTATTACTCCAAAGGTATTCTTCTTATGATGATGTAAATCCATCATTACATAGTTTATCAATCAAATCTTGTTTTTAAAATAAAAAAATACGTGGAGAACAATGATTGGTTATGACTTCAAAGTTATCTTTCTTAAGCGGACGTGGAAAACAATTACTGGTTATGATTTTAGATCTATCTTTCTTTAGATGATATAAATTCAACATTATACAATTTACAAATCTGAAATTTTTGCGAGATAAAACAACACGTGGAGAATGGCTATTGGTTCTTACTTCAGGATTATCTTTCTTCAGAGGTTGTATAAGGTTCTAGGCATCACTCATCTAGTCATTGGTTAAAATTTTTTTTTTTTACGAAAGCTAATAGAAAAAGAGAGAGGGAGAGAGAGAAAGTTCTTAGGAGTAAAACCCTAATTACGAGCGAGAAGAAAAAGGGTTTGGTTTCATCTGCTTCTTATAAATCGTTTTAGTTTTATTTTTTAATCACTCGATCATGGATTATTCCGATGATGACGTGCTGGAAAGCGAATCAGTGGAGGATCATTTGTTCAGTGAAGAAGATGCCGATCTGGATTATGGATTCGCCGAGGTAACATCCAAACGATCTCAGATAAGTCCTTACGTAGTTCTCAAGGAAGAAGAAATTCGCAAGCATCAAAGAGACGATATCGAACAAGTTTCTACGGTTCTCTCGATAAGCCAAGTGGAAGCGATCGTTCTGCTTCTTCACTATCGATGGAGTGTTAGTAAAGTGCAAGATGAATGGTTTACGGACGAAGAGAGAGTCCGTAAAAGCGTTGGTATATTGAAGGAGCCTGTCGCTGATCTTGATGGTAAAGAAGTGAATAATATTGAATGTGGAATTTGCTATGAATCCTATCTTCTGAAGGAAATCGCAACGATTTCTTGTGGTCATCCTTATTGCAATACCTGCTGGACCGGTTACATCGCTTCCAAAATCAACGATGGTCCGGGATGTTTATTGGTTAAATGTCCTGAGCCTTCTTGTTCTGCTGTGGTTGGTCAAGATATGATCGACAAGGTTATAACTAAGGAAGAAGACAAGGAGAAGTATCACAGATATTTTCTGAGGTCTTATGTTGAAGCGAGTGGAAAAAAGATAAAGTGGTGTCCATCACCGGGATGCGAATACGCTATTGATTTTGGAAGTGGAAGTGAAGGAGGTGAAAACTATGATGTTTCTTGCTTGTGTTCTTATGAGTTTTGCTGGAATTGCAGTGAAGATGCTCACCGTCCCGTGGACTGCGACACGGTGTTAAAATGGATATTCAAGAACAGTGATGAATCGGAGAACACGAAATGGATACTTGCGAATACAAAGCCTTGTCCTAAATGCCACCGTCAGATCGAGAAGAACCAGGGATGTAACCACATGAATTGCTCGATGTGTAAAACTCAGTTTTGTTGGCTTTGCCTTCGTGAATATAAGGTTAACGAGTACCTTCACGGAAGCTGCCACCAGTATAAGGGTGGTGATGTGGCTGATGAGGATATGAGAATCATGGCGAAAAATGCGATAGAGAGATACACGCATTATTATGAAAGATGGGCAAGCAATCAATCGTCGAGGCTTAAGGCTATGGAGGATTTGAAGAAATTGCAATCGGTGCAGCTTAAGGAGCTCAGTGACAAACAGTGCACATCAGAAACTCAGCTCCAATTCACTGTAGAGGCGTGGCTTCAGGTTAGTTGATATATACAACAGTTACATAACTATGACCCTGCTTGGTCTCATTGTGAAACCGTATAGATTAGTTTATTTTTTAATGTAGATAGAATGGAATATTAGATATTGTGGAATCGATGAATATAGATAGGCGTTATTTCACAAAAGAGTGTGACTGGTCAAAGTTTGCAATCATTCTACTATTTTAGGAGTTATAAGTAATGAGACTATAAGTGAGATTTTTGTTAGAACAAAACAGATAGATATATGTTCTCATATGATTGAATTTACGATTGCAGATCATCGAATGTAGGAGGGCGTTGAAATGGACATATGCATATGGTTACTACCTTCCTCAGCAAGAAACTGCTAAGAAACAACTTTTCGAGTATTTACAAGGGGAGGCTGAAGCTGGCTTGGAGAGGCTTCATCATTGTGCAGAGATGGAGTTGAAACCGTTTGTCAACGAAGCTAAAGATCCATCTGAATTCAATGACTTCCGCAAGAAAATAATTGGTTTGACTAAAGTTACCAAAACCTACTTCGAAAATCTGGTGAAAGCTTTGGAGAATGGTCTTGCTGATGTGGAAAACAATGAGAGCAAATCAACAACAGACTCTGAATCTCCTACCAAAAGACAAAAGTTGGCAACAAGTGGCTAAGGAAGATTCAAGTGGTAAACTGAGAGATCTCTCAGCTTTTTTTTATATATATGTTTTTGTTGCAAAGGACCGTAGGGGTTTTGACAATTTTTACATTATACCCTAATTATTATTCTTAAGCATTAAACAATTTGCATTGTTCTTAGACAATTTTTAAGCATTAAACAATTTGCATTGTTCTTTAACGTTAATTGCCTGCTCTTTGCCTGCTACTGCAATTTTGGTGAATTGAACCAAAACCAATTTCTCTTCTCGAAAATTCTATAGACCAAGATAAAAAAGATTTGTTTCGAATTGGATATTTTGGACTGAAATTCATATTAATATATCGCGGAAATAAATTCTGAAAACAATAGAAAATCGCTATAGATGGAACTATATCTTTTAGTCTCGACAAGTAAGAGTAGTTCTATTGGAATTGAGAGAACATAAGCATCCACAACATGTAAAAACATTACCTTTTTTTTTTTAATTGTCCATAACAATTTTTTTTATTGTTTTAATCTGGTCCACAACGTTTTTGAAATCTTTTGAAATTACTTACGTAAATAATATGAAAAAACTTGCTCCACAAAAAAAAAGTAGAAAAAATAATGAAAAGAAAACACTTATTTTTGGTAGCCACTCACCTAATTTCCTTCCTCCCACGTTTTTATTAGATACATACGAAAAAATCCATTTTTACCTTCACAATTTTTTTAATCATCATGAAAGTTGAAGATTGCTCTGTAAAACATCACACCAAATTGATTTAACCAAATACGTATTATACAAATGAATCCTAACAAAAAAAACCGTAAATACTCTCACATTGCATATAAACATATTCACACAAAAATAATATCAGTATGTAACTGAAACATTCCTTCAAATTTAGACTCGACCGAGTTAAAACATACAAAAAAAGAGACAAGAATTGACTCATACTCTAAAAAATTTAGTAATTTTTATGAGTTTATCCAGCATTGTAAATAACGAGACATATATGTAAACACTAAAATATCCACGTACATATATAGGGGTGCATAGTCGAATCAAAACCATATCGTTTCATCATCCTCTCATTGTTTTTTCGGGTCTTGACAAAAACATAACCAAAAAGAGAAAATGGGTGAATCAAAAGGTCACATACTGTTTTTTCCATATCCACTACAAGGCCACATTAATCCAATGATCCAACTCGCTAAACGCTTATCCAGAAAGGGACTCACAAGCTCTCTCATCATCGCCTCCAACAACCACCGTGAACCTTACACCTCCGACGACTACTCCATCACCGTCCAAACCATCCACGACGGTTTCCTTCCACACGAACATCCTCTCACCAAGATCAAAGAGCCTAAACGTTTTTACGACTCTACTACTCGTAGCCTCACTGATTTCCTCTCTAGGTACACGTTTTATTTTTTGGCAGATTTTGAAAGTTTTGTATCGTTTTTTTTCTTAGCTGGTCCAGCTTCGTTGATGTCGCTTAAAATTATTATATAATTATATAAAAATAACATGAAAAATGATGCTCCACACAAAAACGTAATTAAGCATATCATCGGACAGACACACACCTTAATCTCTTCCCTTCATAGCTTCATCTTCTCCCCCTTCCACATATAATCATGTTTTCACGTTACCTTTAAATGCACCATATCAAGTTTTCATGTTTTATAAGGTGATTTCGCTATAAATTACAAAAAAACAAAATGTCATTATTCTACGAAAACTAGTTTTTAACTAAATTATTTCTGACATATGGTGGTTTAGTGTTAAAATATTCATCGTAGTGTTTGAAAGATCATGTCATTAAATTGACTAGGTATATACTCGCGTTACGCTGCAGGATATATTTCTAGATTTTGTATATACTTTTAATATAATAAAATTATTTTTATAATGTAAATGAGTATTATATTTATTTTTTTTATTAGCTTAAGTTATGTATTTATATGTTTTAAATTTGAATAAATATTATATATCCTTAATTTTTTTTATTTTTCAAAATTATAATCTACTATCAAATTTGTTTACCTAACTATCTATAAATATTTGTAAAAATAAAACAATACATTTTTAAGTACCTTTATGCTAATGGCAAATGTAATTTGTTATCTCTACTAAATTACCACTTGATCTTCCTTTGAAATTTTATAAAGTAAATTGTCATTTAAAAAAAAAACTGAGAAATCGCACTCTCCGACAAAACAAAAAAATTTCATCTCACTTATTCTTGCCAAAACCAAAAACATTCATTTTCTCGTCAAACTTGAAATTTCATTTTCACACCAAAACAAAGAAATTACATTTTTCCACAAAAACCAAAAAATCATATTTTTCTGCGAGGACTTGTATTTTTCTATCAAAACAGAGAAATCAAATTTTTTCATCAAGGCAAAAAAATTCATTTTCCCATGAAAACCGAGATATCGTCAATTCCTGCAAAAAAAAAAAATCACCAAACTAAAAATCAGGCCTTCCTACCAAAACTGATAAACTACAATTTTCCACGAAAACCAAAAATTGCATTATCTCCTAAGAAATTATGTTTTTCGCGAAAACTAAGAAATCGTATTTTACCGCGAAAACCAAAAAATCACATTATATGTCAAAAAACTGAAAATTTGTATTTTTCATCAAAACCGAGAAATTGCTTATTCCTTCCAAATTCGAGAAATTTTGTTTTCCCATCAAACTGAGAAATTGCATTTTTCGCCAAAATCTTCAAATTACAATTTTTCACAAAAACTAAGAAATCACATTTTCCCGAAAAAATCAAGAAGTGTGTATCCATCAAAAGCCGAAAATTTGTATTTACTATCAAAACCAAGAAATCGTATTTTTTATCAATTGAAAAGTTACATTTCCTAAGATATTTTGTTTTCGTGTCAAAATTAATTTTTTTTTTGTTTTCTCACCAAAACCAAAAGTTTACATTTTTCCGCCAAACCCGATAATTTATTTTCCGCCATAACCAAGAAATTATGTTTTTCTAGCAAAGCTGAAAGTCATATTTTCCTACCGAAACCGAAGAATTTCCTATTCCTGCTAAACCCATGAAAATTTGTTCAGAGTAACCACTGAAAATGCGAATTTCCAAGTTATGGTGGTCTGAGCTTCTCCTCATTTGCTTTCGACTTCCATTTTTTTTATAAACTTTTGGGCTTTTTAATGGGTCTGCAAAATAGTAAACTGATTTTATTAGTGTGTGAATGATATGTATTATTGTTATATTTTTATTGGTTCAAATTTTTGCTGATGTGTGAGCTTCTTATAACATAAGGTTTTTTGCGTTGTTGTTATGGAAACATAGTTGATGATGAGCCTACATTTTTTCAAATATATACGTCTCTGTCAAAAAAACAAATAGCTAAAAAAATTTTATTTATTTACTGTTAATTATTATTTGGGTTTGGGTTTGACAAAAAACAAAATAAAGATTTATTTATTTTTTATTTGTTGTTATTTATTATTTGAGCTTGGATTTGACAAACAATAAAACAAAGATTTTTTTTTATTTGATGTTGTTTATTATTTGGGTTTGATTTTTTAAAAAATAAAACAAATTATTAACAAAAAATGTATTTGGGTTTTTAATGGGTTTAAATTTAAAAATTAAAATGAGTAGATGAGTTGTATTAATGTTTTAATTTGATTGGTTTGTAAAATAGATGAGGTGAGCTTTTCAAAGATTAAAAATTCTGATGTGTCAACTTATGGAGAGACTTGAATGTTATTGTTGTATTGATTCATCCATTCGTTAGCGTTTCTATGATTATTAGACATTCAACACAAGAGTCATATATGTATTTGTGCAGGGAGAAGTTATCGGCTAATCCTCCAAAAGCTCTGATCTATGACCCATTTCTTCCCTTTGCATTGGACGTAGCCAAAGAGTTTGGTCTATACGTAGTGGCCTATTTCACTCAACCATGGCTGGCTAGTCTTATTTACTACCACATCAACGAAGGCACCTACGATGTTCCCGTAGATAAACACGAGAACCCGATTCTTGCATCGTTTCCGGCTTTCCCATTGTTAAGCCAAAATGATATGCCTTCGTTCGCCTGCGAGAAAGGATCTTACCCTCTAATATACGACATTGTGGTTAACCAATTCTCTAACTTGCGGCGAGCTGATTGCATTATCTGCAACACTTTTGATCAACTTGAACCTAAGGTAAGGCTATATATAACTTATAATTTAGATTTTTTTTTTTTTTTTTTTGGTTTTATGTATTTGGGTTTTGAGAAGGAGAGTTTAGTTGTGGAATGTGTTTTCTTTTACAGGTAGTGAAATGGATGGATGATCAGTGGCCGGTGAAGAACATTGGACCGGTGGTTCCGTCCAAGTTCTTGGATAACCGGTTACCGGAAGACAAAGATTACGACCTCGGGGAGTTCAAGACAGAGCCGGACGAGTCTGTTTTGGGGTGGTTGGCAAATAAACCGGCGAAGTCGGTGGTTTACGTGGCGTTCGGGACATTGGTGGCTTTGAGTGAGGAGCAGATGAAGGAAACCGCAATGGCGATTAAACAAACCGGATACAATTTCTTGTGGTCTGTTCGAGATTCCGAGAGAAGCAAGTTACCATCTGGCTTTGTGGAAGAAGCTCTGGAGAAAGACTGTGGATTGGTGGCTAAGTGGGTTCCTCAGCTAGAGGTTTTATCACAAGACTCCATCGGATGTTTCGTGACACATTGTGGATGGAACTCGACATTGGAGGCACTATGCTTAGGGATTCCATTGGTGGGGATGCCTCAGTGGACGGATCAGCCTACGAATGCTAAGTTTATAGAGGATGTGTGGAAGATTGGGGTTAGAGTGAAGACCGACGAAGTAGGGTTTGTGAGTAAAGAAGAGATTGCGAGATGCATCGTGGAGGTTATGGAAGGAGAGAAAGGGAAAGAGATGAGGAAGAATGTTGAGAAGTTAAAGGTGTTGGCTCGTGAAGCTATCTCTGAAGGAGGTACTTCCGACAAGAGCATTGATGAGTTTGTTGCTCTTTTGACTTAAGATCATTCGGAAACTGAGATGATCCCAGTGTTGTCAGTTTGTTAGTCTATTACCGAATAACGACTTCTTTGTCTGTTTTAATTCTGAGTTGTTGGCTTCGTTGCTTGTTGTCACCTGCAAACAAATCCATTTATGAACTCGGTGTTAAGAAAATAAGAGACCTTTGACATTTAAGACATAACATGAATAAACAGCTTTCTTTCTACTCATATGAATATGATTACATTGTATCTCAAAATGCTCTCAGTCCTGTGCATCAGAGAAGTACTTTCTGCAGTATACATTATACATTGTTACAACTTACAAGATAAGACAGTGACAAATGGGAGAGGGCAGTTTCTTTTTGTATTCTTTGTACAGATTTTATTGTAAACATGAGAAGAGAGCTCTTGAATTGCTGAGTTCCTCGTGTTTCTGTGTTTAATCTCTCCCTGTCTTTTGTACTATTTCCTGAGAAATCAGCGACTTGGTTGAGAAACTATTCATGGTATACGTGAGAGATTGGCTCTAATCCGTTATGGATTAATAAAATACTACGATTTCTAGAAGAATTCGGCTTAGCTAGGGGGAAACTAGAAATGCAGAACATAAATGATAAAGAGAGTTGTTAAGATAATGCATTTTACCAAGGAAACTTGAACGTATCTTTCCACCATCCCTGTTTTGAGCAGTGTGTAAATATCTTGTCCAGTCGAACTATGATCTCAGAAAATGTCGGCCTAACAAAAGTTTCCGTATCCCAACACTCCTCAATCAATCTGTTTCAGTAAAATGTGAACCAATAAGTTGAAAGAGGTTGGGTTTAGGATCCAGGCCAAGCAAATGATGTAAACAAAACGTTCTGCAATTTATTTTATATAGTTGATGAAGATTGTTACACTTACTCTCTCAACTCTTGGGGACAACTTTTGGACTTGGCCTTAAACGAAGGTCTTCTTCCTTCTAAGCACATTAGCTTCGCTGCCTCTTCTGGGGGCTTAGGGTGGAAAGGTTGTACTCCTTCAATCATCTGAACAAATTTTAAGAGAAACTCAATCAAATATTGCTTCAGTGAGATTTGTTAGAGAAGCTTATAGGCCTCGATGCCAGGAAAAAAACATATCTACTAGAGTGGTTGAGAAACAGAATGAAGTACTTTAGCGAGCATCTAAAGGAGTGAGTTGATTAAAAGTAAACCCCAGACCAGATACAGCCACCAGGAAATGCAGAAGAGCAGTATTATCACGAATGTTTGACGTTAATGGTTACCATACCTACCTCATACAATACGACAGCAAAAGAGTATGAATCCACACTCCTGTCAAATATCCCATCTTTGTAAATCTCAGGCGCCACACAGTAATCTGCGAATAATTGGGTCATGAAATCAGTCATTCTTATGAGCACTTTAACATTAGAAACATTTCCGTTTCTTGTATCATGGTTTCTAAGAAATCTAGATCTTTGATGTACATTATATGCCCACAATTCTATGCTAGAACTTTGTCAAGAGTCCCAAATGTGAGCCCGTGGGTTGAGATTTTAAATTCATCATATGAAATAATATATGGACACTTCTTTTGGGTAGGTAGAAGGAATTAAAAATTTAGAACTTACTTGAAGGCTCTATATGTGCTCCATGATTAAGGATTCTTGATTTATCAGATGATAACTTTGCAAAACTTATCAATCCAAATCCCGCCACCTTCACGTGTCCTCCATTATCGAGCATAAGATTTCTGGCACCTTACAAGAAGTTGCAAGAAATTAGATAACGGGGGTTCCAAAAATATGTAATTGAAAAACATAAACGTGCAGATGCTTCTTTATTTAGTTATCTTACTTGGGTTTTAGATCACAGTGGATTACTGGTTCTGGTTTACACTCGTGGAGATAATTCATTCCCCTGAGAAGAGCCAAATGATTTGTTCATAAGATTTTTTAAAAAATGCAATTGTAATCTGAATACAATCTTGCAAAACAAAAGGTACATGCCTGGCTATATCCAGGGCAAATCTTAGAACTTTGGATAGAGAAAGGCGTCCTTTCTTTTGAAGATAGCTCCCGAGATCACCCTGCAAGTTACCACCAAGCCGAAAGTTATTTCCTAGAATCCAAAAGTTGCTTAATGATGGAAAAATCTTGTAAGGTGTAAAAAGAGGGAGAAGCTTACTTTAGGATGATACTCAGATACGATCATCATGGGGACATTTTGAGTAACAGCTCCAACAAATTGCACAACATTAGGATGACGAACCTTTTCGAATAAAGTAAGTTCGTGTTTGAAGGCATTTCTGTGGGTAAAGAATATAATTCAGATGACAAAACTGCACAACAAACGTATCCAAAGACTATAGGAACAATGATTCTAAAATCTTACAGCTCATATCCTCATCATTACGAGCATAACAAAAGCTCTCAACAATCTATAGCTTAACGTAAGAAGAAATTCAAAATCACTATTGACCTATATGCTAATTTAGACAGATACTCAACAAAGAGAAGAGTAAACGTACATGGTTTCAGGGTCCTTGTAGAGATCTTTATCAAGTATCTTTACAGATACCTTAGTCCCATTCCATTTAGCCACTTGATATATTCCCTGGTAAGTGAAAATGTGATGCAGTATTATGTTAAAAGCATTAACTGGAAAACTAAGACATAATTACGACGAAATATGAAGCAAAGAGCTCTTGCCTTTGAGATACCATCAGCTTTCCGAACTTGAAGTTCTTGTGGATTTAACTCGTATTCAGGAACTTCACGAGGATTCGCCACAACCATCGGCGTCCTTTTGGTTTTCTAAAAACCAGAAAAGAAAATGTAACTAAACGCATAAAGATATATAAAAAAGGAACAGAGCTCGATCCATGAAAAAGCATACCGGAACTTTGGCTCCACGGGCTCTCAAAATGTTGAAAACGTCTATGTTACCATAGTACTTAGCATCAGCAGCTGCCTATCCACACAACAAAACCCAAATTTCAGATCAAAAGCACAAAAAATAGAATCTAAATGAGACACAACGATTGAATTCAATTGAGAAAACATTAGGTCGTCAGATTAGAAAAATCACATTACCGTGCTTCCCCAACGATCACGAGCATCGATGTTGGCCTTCCTAGTGAGGAGGAGCTTCACAACGTCGACGTGGCCTTCACAGGCGGCGATGTGGAGAGCGGTTCGACCGTCGAGATCGATGCTATTGACGTCGATCCCTTCGTCGAGCAGATCCTGGACACCTTCCACGTCTCCTCTACAGGCCACGAAGAGGAGCTGCATAGTGGCGTCGAGGTTATCGGGGACGGCGAGCTGCGGACGGCCAGAGCCGTCTGGACTCCGGCGAATCGGATCGAGAGAAGATTGCCGGCCGAAGCTGAATCGCATATTGTTCCGGCGAGGATCGTGCGATGACTGACGCGTGAACTGACGGCTAAGCGTACGTCGAAGCGATCCAGTGGAGAATTGCCTCGAGATTCCACGTTTTAGCTGCCCCGCGATGTTCGCCATCTTTTCCGGGTTCTTCGATTTCAAAATCTAAACACCTCTTCTTCGTCTTCTTCTGAGGAAACAAAAAAATAATCAAACGGATTATCACATTTTTTTTCGAAAGAGAAAAGTCTTTGACCTGTGAGGATTATGTGAGATCCGCTTGAAGCGCGTTTGGCTATCGAGAAAGTTTTTAATTTTTTTTTTTTTAATTTCGCAAGAGAAAAGATATTATTGGCGACGTCTGTTTCCGATTGACTCTGATTTGACTTTTGCTTTCAATCATTGTTTGGCAGCTCCCGCGTAAAAATGGACTGTTCTTCTTGATCGTCGTCCACTTATTTCGGTGGCTTTACCGGAAATAAAACTATTTTGTTTTCGAATCTGTGAGATTAACCCTTATACTTATCGTAATTATGAAATTAATCCAAATCATTGTCATAATAGCGAAATGGTGGATAACGGTGACGTGTCGGCCTGATCCACTAGAGGTCTTTTTGGGCTTTAGTAAAGCCATTTTAGCGATTCTGTATGACCCACAAATTGACACTCTGAACCTTCTCGTATCGCGTAGGAAGTTTGCGTTTGCGTTTGAGTGTGTGGGTTGCGTTTGCATTGAGAATTGTAGTGTGGCTCTCGGTCTCTTTCACTTGTCTGTCATTCCCTCGTCTTCAATCTCATTATCTGAGTAGCAAACTTTCGGCTTCTCTCTTCAATGGCGGCCATTTCTGCAAGTTCTTCCCTTTCCCTTCGCTGCTTGAGATCGGCATGTCCTGATTCTTCTCCCGATCTCGTATCCTCGACGCGGGTATCGTTCCCGGCGAAGGTTTCATATCTCTCCGGTAAATCTTCGAACCGTGGCGATGAAATGGGTAAGAGAATGGAAGGAATCGTTAGGAGCGTCGACGGGAAAATCTCTGACGCATCTTACTCCGAATCTTCATCTGCAACTCCAAAATCGAAGTACTGTGAACATTCCTTTGAATTCGTTTCCTTTGCTTGAATTCAATTGTTGTTTCCTAATTATCCGTTCCTTTTTTATGTGTAATTTTACGCATTTTTATTTTTGATTTGTGAAAATTTAACGTTTTAATGCATCGAGATGCTCTGTTTCTTCCATGGTGTTCTGCATGTTGAGCTTAAAGCTTTATATTCTGGATTTTCAATTGATGAGCCCGATTACAAAATCTGATAATTTGGTTACTTCAGATTTCAGTTACTTGATGGTGTTGCTTCTTTACAGTATTAACTTCATTATCGATGTGAATAGGTTTGATACTTTATATTATACCTTTACCTGAACCATGTGTATATCGCTAACGTTGGCTTTGTACGTTAACACAGGGTGAGGAAACACACAATATCAGTGTTTGTTGGAGATGAAAGCGGAATGATTAATAGGATTGCAGGAGTCTTTGCGAGGAGAGGATACAACATCGAGAGTCTTGCTGTTGGTCTGAACAGAGACAAGGCTCTATTCACCATAGTTGTCTGTGGGACTGAAAGGGTACTTCAGCAGGTCATCGAGCAACTCCAGAAGCTCGTTAATGTTCTAAAGGTTGTATATTTTCTATATCGCACTTATCAAATTTCTGCATCATATTTGTGTCATAAACTTGATCTTTACACATCAGCCGATTTTGCTTGCCACTGCTTTATAAACTCAGTGGACTTCGTAGGAGCTGTGTAAAATTTTGATTTGTGCTTTGCATATCCGAGAGTTTGTGTTGAAGATTACATTTCCAAATAAATGCCTTTTCTATTTCTTGAATTGACTTGGAATTGCTAATTAGGTTGAAGATATCTCGAGTGAGCCGCAAGTGGAGCGTGAACTGATGCTTGTAAAAGTGAATGCGCATCCAGAATCCAGGGCAGAGGTAGCCTTTTCTTGCCTATTGTAAATTAGAGTATACTGTACTCGCTGGTTGCTTTTGATTCGGTCTAGAGGTGGAGTTTATTTTTCTTTCAAATTTTGACTAGCCTCTGTTGAATGAATTTACAGATCATGTGGCTCGTTGACACATTCAGAGCAAGAATTGTAGATATTGCGGAACATGCATTGACTATTGAGGTACATCTTGTGCTGTTCTCAAAATTTGTTTCGCACTATAGCCTATGAGTTTTGGACTTCTGTTTTTTATCCTCTCCTCTTACTAACCATTGGAGACGTAAATTTTTTGTTTAGGGTATCGTTTGAAAATTTATATCCAGTGGTTGGATTTCGTTACCTTTTGAAACTGATGATGATTAACATGTTGGGATAAAGATTAAATTTATATGTGTAATAAGGTTTATTTGAAACTATTTGTGCATCTCCTTCAATATATTTGATTGCCTACTAAGTAAATATAACGAGAAAGCTCTTGAACAGGTTGCTACACTCGAAGTGTACTGTACCAGTAATCTGCATTACATATTGCATTGTCTGTCCTGTGTCCTGATTTCTGCTGGAGTGCTAAGTGTTGTTTATGATAGTTAGAGAAACAAGACCATACACATAATGCTCTTTTTACCTTGATTATGAGGAAGTGGCATAAAAAAAGTATCTCTAGTTTACAATATTTTAGTTCTTTAGTATTCATTTTTAAGCTATCTTGCAGGTAACTGGAGATCCTGGAAAAATGATTGCTGTAGAAAGAAATTTGAGAAAGTTTCAGATCAGAGAGATTGTCAGGACAGGAAAGGTAGTGGATTTTTGGAATAACTAGATTGTAAGGCTTTTGAATATCATCTAGTTTGTGCTTTCTAATGTATATATGTAATAGTGACATCTTTCAGTGGACATTAAGAGTCTAAGACATAGATCTCGGGGACTTTCACTAATTTAGGGAAAATGGAATGACAATTTTAATTAACAGATAGCACTGAGAAGGGAAAAGATGGGTGCTACTGCTCCATTTTGGCGATTCTCAGCAGCATCCTATCCAGATCTCAAGGAGCAAGCACCTGTTAGTGTTCTTCGAGGCAGCAAAAAAGGAGCTACGGTCCCTCAAAATGAAACAACAGCAGGGGTGTGTACTTCTCTCCTCGTTAGATTGCTTATTTTTGATGCTTTGCAGATCTAAATATACTTGCATATAGCTGAAAAACTACAAACTAATGTGCTTCTTTCAGAGGAGAAAATTCTTGAGCATGCAATTCTAATTCCCTTTTTGTATCTGACGTTAGCTAAACCAACCCTCTTCACAAGTTTCCTAATCGTCCAGTGTTAAAAGTAATCTTTGCTTTTCAATGTAGGGAGATGTTTATCCCGTTGAGCCACCTTCTGACCTCATGGTACATCGTGTTCTTGACGCTCACTGGGGACTTCTCACGGACGAAGATGTAAGAAAGTTTGTTGCTAGATATATATAACTTTTATATATACTGCCATAGGTATGCGTGCCATTACTTTCTAAATAGTAATATGCAGCATAGATTGGTAGCGGTTTCAGAATGTGGTTTGCATTACAAGAGTTCCACTTATATATCTCCATTCAGGCTGTCTGGGAACTATGAGTTTGAATAATCCGTACTGTTAATATCGTATGGACGAATTATTTTTTGGTATATAAAGGTAGACATGGTTAGTGTGATCAATTTAGTTACATAAATTCATGGAGTGTGTACGGTGGGCTGTGGAGATTGTACAGACATTTTTTGGTAGGTTAATTTGTATCTTTTATAACAGTTCTTCATTTCTGATCTTTCAGACGAGTGGACTACGGTCACATACTTTATCTTTGCTTGTGAGCGATGCTCCAGGAGTCCTTAATATTGTTACTGGTGTTTTCGCTCGAAGGGGATACAATATTCAGGCATAGTCTTTATCTCTCTCTCTCTCTCTCTCACACACACACACACAAACACAGTATGCTTGGGGTTTACTGACACATCTTCTTTTTGGTTTAGAGCTTGGCTGTAGGACATGCTGAAACCGAGGGCATTTCACGCATTACAACAGTTGTTCCTGCAACAGATGAATCGGTTAGCAAATTGGTGCAGCAACTTTATAAACTCGTAGATGTGCATGAGGTAAGATTTCAAAAAGCAACTGTCTTTCTATATATATATAACAGTTGCATGCTTTTGATGGGCCAGCCTTTAGCTATGTTTTCCCTTTTGGTTTTTCTATAAACTATAGACAGAAGATTGACTTGAGAACTCCTTTTAGAGTTTCCTATTATCTTCTCCGGGTCTTTTGAATTTATTTGAATAGGACCTCTGTTTCTAAGAGTCTAAATGTGTACAAGCTTGATGAAAAAACTTTTGAGCAGCATGCTTTAACATAACTTTCCGACCAGTCATTAATTTTGTGAGGATTTAAACAGGTCCATGATCTTACTCATTTGCCATTTGCTGAAAGAGAGCTGATGCTGATCAAGATTGCTGTGAACGCTGCTGCAAGAAGAGATGTCCTGGACATTGCTAGTATTTTCAGGGCTATAGCTGTTGACGTATCCGATCATACAATTACTTTGCAGGTAAAATAAATTTCTCATGAATCGAATTTCTATTTGAGGTGTAGTTGCATATCAGATGCCAGATCCTATCCATAGGAGAACTTTAAAGTTTAACACCTTTCCATAACTTGTTTGACATAATCAGAGTTCCGTTTGACAATATATGTCAAGCAGACTTGGATTTTCCATCTTAATCCCTTTCTTTCATAGTTTTTGGATTTAGTGCTGAAATTTTGTTTGCTGTGAATACAGCTTACTGGGGATCTAGACAAGATGGTTGCACTACAGAGGTTGCTGGAGCCTTACGGTATATGCGAGGTTAGTTTTGCTATCTGTTTTAATATTGTAACTAGTAAGTCTTAGCGTTAATAAATTCGTTAATACTGTTAGGCTGTAATGTAATCCCTTCGCATGGTCTCTCGAACAAGAAATCCAAATGAAAACAGGCAATGATAGCGTATAACTAGTTCTAGATCAGACACTGAGCCGTAGTTTGAAGGTTCATTTGTTCAGATAGAGTTAAAATGGTAAAATTAACAACCGACAACAACCGAAAGTGGACCCATTTTCTAATGTATAGTTAGTTGTACGACGTCATCGAGCTGTGCTTAGAACAAGAATCAGTTTGACAAGCATTGTTACTTTGACTTATGCATCGTGTTGATGTTTGTAATGAACAATCAATCACAGGTTGCAAGAACAGGGCGTGTCGCATTGGCTCGTGAATCAGGAGTGGACTCCAAGTATCTGCGAGGGTACTCGTTTCCCTTAACAGGTTGATAAGCCGTCGCTGAGTCATGGAACAGCAAAAAACTTTTGAAGATGAAAGTTTCATTACACATTTTACGAGCCAAAGAGAGTGTAGATATGGTTGGGACTCCGTTTATTTTACAATTAGCAGATTTTAGAATTTTGTGGCTTCATTTCAAATTTTCAATTCCTTTTCTTTTTGGAGGACAAATAAAAATTGGTTGGGATTAAGCTTCTTTTTCCTAGTAGTTATCTCCTAAGGAATAACTCACACTTTCGACGATATCATAAAGTTACACTTTCGATGATCTCTAAAAGACTTTTAGACCGAACACAAATGGACTTTGTACATGCAGTATTGGAGAGTCAAAGTCAAACTAAGTAAGCGTTGACTGAATGGGACGTGTACCTAAAATGTTTTTCCTACTTTATCTTCTAATAAATTCGATTCGCTTACAAAAATGTAACTTACTTTTCTCTAATTTTAAAATGTTTTCTTGTGTTTTAAATCTGGAAACTTCTTTCTTTTTCTTGGGTACTATGAAACACGAAAGTTTTGCTCTTTGTTGTTTTTTTTTTTACCTCGAAAGAATTGTTGAAATAGTCAACATTTTATTGGTTTACTATTTTCAGTTATACAAACTTAACAATTAATTGGTTTTCAGTTACAAAGCTCTACAGTATCATAGTATAAGTTTCGGTTTGTTGTTGTTGGAAAGATGTCACACATTGCACCTGGACGGGGACAACAATATCCTCAAATTCGTTGGTTTCGAAATCGTGACAAAAGGTAATTCAATAATTTAAACGTCCAAATAAGGTCCATACAGAACTGCCTAAAAGTGCTTCTGATTATAAATAACTATCATGGTACCCTTTTTAACACCATTTTAATAAATATTACGTCTCTAAATATATCCGAGTATCAATATCTGACCATAGTGAAGGAATCCTTGGATCACTAGATTACATGTGATATCAAACCTTAGATTTGAAGGAATGGAAGAGAAAGGTGTTTCTTTTCGTTATGAAAATGTAAAAATTAAGAAAAAGTTTGATACTAATTGATTATTGCAGTTATAAAAGCACAATGATTAATGAGCCGACCACGTGCCTTTTGTGGTTTAATCGTTTATTTTATTTCTCCGTAGTGGCTACAAAAATATCAGCCACAATGAAACTGATTGATCATTTATTTACTATTTTCTCGACGAAGAAATATACTATCTTCCTGGTCTTCTGTGAAGGATTTTGCTGATAATTAGATTCGATTTCTATATGGATTCAATTTGTAAACAGTTGATCATCATCATATCCAATAAAATATCTTTTAATAACGATGTAACAGAGTATAGGCTAAGAAAATCCGGTCAGACTAATTATTTAACGTTTTCTATTAAAAAAAAAATATAATTTGGTCAGAAATGCAAAAAGATTGTAAGAAATGAAAGTTTTTATAGCCGTCAATTCTTTGATTACACTAATATACAAAACAAAGAGAAAGAATCGTTAATTAACTAACAAAGTGATAGTCTGACTTGACTTTTTAGTTTTTACAAAGCATTCAATTAGAGTAAATATGATAAGCTGCGTCGGCTTTTAGGCTTTAACTTTGATTAGGTGACATGGCACATCATTAGAAGAGTCAAAACAGTATAAAGTTATAAACTAGAGACCTCCATCAATTTCTTTTCCGATTGTAATATTTTTTTTCATTTTGACAAATCTAAAACTTTTAATTAACATTTAAATTTCGATTTATTACATAATTTAGAGTCCAAAACTCTTGCAGTTTTTAATTAATATACCCAAAATATTATACATTTGGACAAAAAGAATGAAACTTTTCCACTGGGCGTGTCTTTCCTTTGTTTTTTTTGAGATTGGTTAGAGTCTTCTTCGTGTCGAGTTTTCACCGTTCTTTTTTAGAGTTTGGTATTATTTGGGTTGTACTATTAGCTTTTTAGCGCTTTTTTACAGATCTGTTTGTGATTTCTAGTCGTGTCGTTCGTTTCTGCTGTTTCCAGAAGATTTCTGGGTACTGAAACTTTGATTTTCTAGAATCAAAAGGTAGGTTTGGTGAAAGAATTTGTTTATCATTGATGAGGTTGGAGACCTGTTCGATAATTCCTTGAATTTTCGGAAGTATGAAAGATGTGTTAGTTGGTGAATGTTGTAATTTTTGGTTTAAATCTTCTCAATCGTTTTGTATGTTGGTTTAAAATCTGTGTTAGTCTTAATTTTCTTCTTTATTATTACGATATACTTTATATCAATATTAGGAAATCTTCTATATTTCCGATCCTTATGTATATCCTCTATTCTCGTGTAAAACCCTAAGCCAATGTACTATATATACGATCTCTTAATATCAATAAAGATCAACGAGTTCATAACAAGTTTGGCATGGTATCACAGCCTCCACTCTAAAATTGATCGAAACACGTAAAATCCATCCTCTCTCTAAAGATCGTTTTTGATCAAATCATCTTCTTTCTCAAACTCTCCACATCATGGTGTCCTCCACCGAAGATCCTCTCTCGACAGCTCCGTCTCGTGCTTCAAGCTCGAGAGATGAGATCTCCTCATCACCTTACTATCTCCACCCATCAGATCATCCTTATCACGTTCTCACCCCAATCCTCTTGAACGGCGATAATTACAAACGATGGGCAAAACTAGCACGAAATAATCTTCGAGCTAAGCAAAAACTTGGTTTCGTTGATGGAACTATCCACCAACCGGCGCTTGATTCTAAAGACTACAACAATTGGGTGACCGTGAACTCCATGTTGATCGGATGGTTATACGCAAGTATTGAACCCAAAATCCATCATACTATCTCCGTGGTTGAGAACGCAAGGATCATGTGGGAAAGCTTACGCAACAGATTCTCAGCCGGTAATGCACCTCGCGTGCATGAACTAAAATCAGATCTTATGGCGTGTCGTCAAGACGGACAAGACATTGCAACCTATTTTGACAAACTCAAAGTCATGTGGGATGACCTTGATGATTACGAGCCTGTTCTGGGATGTTGTTGCACCAAGTTTGACTGTCCGATTCAGTTGGCCTCCATCATAAGACGTGATCACGAACGAATACACCAGTTTCTGATGGGATTGGATGCTTCACGTTTTGGAACCACCCGTACAAATTTCCTGGGGCGCCTTACTCGTGAAAAAGACCTAGGTTTAGATCAGATCTACTCAGAACTTGTTGCTGAAGAAAGACATCTCTCTGTCTCTCGTACGAAGGAAGAACGCATCAATGCCGTAAGTTATGCTGTCCAAACCGGTGTGAATGCAATCAAAACAGTTACAAAGGGTCGAAACAATCTGCACTGCACCCATTGTAATCGCACAAACCACACGGTAGACACATGTTTTGAGAAACATGGGTATCCAGAAGGATGGTTCGAATCAACCTCTGAAGCAAGAGGACGCGGACGTGGTAGAGGTGGTAGAGGACGAGGACGCTCAGCTCCACCTCGAGCCAACAATGCTCAGGTTCCGTCAACGACAGCATATCCAAACATTCCCGGCGTTAGTAAAGAAGCATGGGCTGCGATTGTCAATCTACTCAAACCCGAAAACTCCCCGTCATCTGAGAAACTGTCTGGTAATGTCGACTTTCTCTTAGACTCTGGAGCATCTCATCATATGACCGGTGATGAAGATCTCTTACTTAATCTCAAAGATATCCCTCGTTGCATTGTGGTGTTACCAAATGGAAAACATTCGTTTGCGACAAAAGAAGGCTCACTTCACCTCGGAGGAAATACATCTCTTAGCCATGTGCTATATGTGCCTGATTTATCTTGCACACTCATCTCGTTAGCTTGTTTGTTACGAGAGCTCTCCTGTTTTGCCATATTCACTGACAAGTTTTGCGTTATACAGGACCGTTCTTCGAAGATGCCGATTGGAGCCGGTGAAGAAGAGAACGGGGTTTATCACTTTCGCGGGGTTGTTACAGCTCAAGCAAGCAAGACTTCGACAGTGGCTGAGGCAGTTTTGTGGCATCAACGCTTAGGACATCCTAGCAAGAAAGTGTTATCTACTTTTCTATCTAGCTTAGAGGATTTTAAGGCTAGTAGTTTTGATTTTAAGGAGTTTTGTGATGTTTGCATTCAGGCAAAACAAACTCGGGAATCTTTTTCAGATAGCAATAATAAAGCAGACTCTTGTTTTTCACTCATCCATTGTGACGTTTGGGGACCTTATAGTAAACCTTCATCATGTGGTGCTCACTAGTTTCTCACAATCGTTGACGATTACTCTCGTGTCGTATGGACTCATTTGTTGTTAGCTAAGAGTGAAGTCTCTTTTGTCCTTAAGAATTTCTTTGCTATGGCAGAGAGACAATTCAGACAAAAAGTCAAAACTCTTCGCAGCAACAACGGCACAGAATTTACATGTATGAAGAAGTACTTTGCTGAAAACGGAATACTTCATCAAACCTCATGCGTCGGTACACCTCAACAGAACAGACGGGCTGAACGAAAACATAGACATCTTTTAAACATGGCAAGGACGCTTATCTTTCAGGCTAATCTACCAACAAAGTTCTGGGGTGAGAGTATACTTACGGCGGCGTATCTCATTAACCGTACTCCTACACCACTACTCAATGGTAAAACTCCCTATGAACTACTCTATAATAAACCACCATCATACTCTCATTTTCGAAATTTTGGTAGTCTCTGTTTTGCAAAAAGACAAACTGCAAAGACCGACAAATTTGATGCAAGGAGCAGGCGGTGCGTTTTTCTGGGATATCCACATGGACAAAAAGGTTGGAAAGTGATCGACTTAGAAACTGGTTCTTTGTTCGTTTCTCGCGACGTTGTTTTTCATGAAACTTTGTTTCCATATGCTTCCGCTCACTCACCCTCTATCTCCACGGAACCAGTCTCTTCTTCCCTTTCACCAGTGTTTTCGGTAATTGAGGACGTTCTCACTGTTAGTCCTCCTCCTCCGCCTGAATTGCCTCCTTCGCTTGCACCGTCTTCTCCGCCTGAACCTTCTTCTCATCCGCATGACACCTCTCCTACTACTAATGTATCCAGGGGGAGTTGTGCTGATCCTCTCGAAGCTATAACAGAGCCAGCTTCAGAGTCCACTGCAGTAGTTCCTCAGCTCATAGACGACACAGTGGCACCCGATAATATTCATCCTTCGTTTCCTACTTCTGGTAATGAAGAGCTCAGCCGTGGTTTGCGTGAAAAGACTATCTCTACGCGTCTCAAGAATTTTGTTACATACTCCGCTATTTGTGATAAAAACCCTGTTCTCGACAACACCGCCTCCACTCCGGTTTCTCCAGGTACGTGTTTGTATCCTCTCGCTAACTTTGTCTCATGTGATCGTTTTTCCAATAGTCATACAGCGTTCTTGGCTGCAATAACTCTTGGTGTTGAACCTAGACACTTCAAAGATGCAATTCAATACGAGGTATGGCGAAAGGCGATGAGTTCTGAATATGTTTTGCTTGAAGGCCAACGGACATGGTCCTTTCAACAACTCCCTCCAGGAAAGAAGGCTCTTGCTTGTAAGTGGGTATTTCGTCTCAAGTTCAATGCAGACGGCTCCATTGAACGTCACAAAGCACGCCTGGTGGTTATGGGAAACTTTCAAGAGGAGGGCATTGACTATGACGAAACATTCGCTCCGGTGGTCAAAATGAATACAATTCGAATTCTCCTTGAAGTTGCAGCTGCAAAGAATTTGGAAATGCACCAAATGGACGTTCACAATGCATTTCTTCATGGTGATCTAGAGGAAGAAATTTACATGAAGCCACCTCCCGGTTTTCAACCTTCTGATCCATCGCTTGTATGTCGTCTCCACAAGTCATTATATGGTTTAAAACAAGCTCCTCGCTGCTGGTTTGCAAAGCTCTCTAATGCATTGCTTGGATATGGCTTTGTACAATGTCGAAAAGATTACTCTCTCTTCACTCGTGTTCGCGGATCAACAGTCCTTCACATCCTTGTTTACGTGGATGATCTTGTGATCCTTGGCAACGACTCAGCAGTAATTTTCCAGTTCAAAAACTATCTACATAAGTGTTTTCGTATGAAGGATTTGAGTTTCTTAAAGTATTTTTTGGGTCTTGAGGTTGCTCGTAGTCCCGATGGTATTTATCTTTCCCAGCGTAAGTACTGCTTGGATATTATCTTTGAATGTGGTCTTATTGGTGCTTGCCCCATTGATACGCCGATAGAACAGAACCATCGTCTGGCGTTTAACTCGGGTCCTTTCTACGCTAACACTTCCAAATATCGGAGACTTATTGGTCGTCTTGTATATCTTGCATTGACGCGTCCCAAACTCAGCTATTCAATTCATATTCTTGCTCAGTTTATGCAAGCTCCTCGCCACGCACATTGGGATGCAGCTATACGCATTGTCCGTTATCTCAAAGGTTGTCCGGGTCAAGGGATTCTTCTTTCCTCCAGTAGTGATCTTCAGATTACGGCCTACTGCGATTCAGACTGGGCATCATGTCCCCTCACTCGTCGCTCTCTCAGCAGCTATGTTATTTTTCTTGGTGATTCTCCGGTTTTTTGAAAAACTAAGAAGCAAGATCGTGTTGCACGCTCCTCTGCAGAAGCAGAATATCGCGCCATGGCTTTGGCGACTCAAGAAATCATGTGGATCAAGGAACTTCTTCAATCACTTGGGATCTCTCATCCATCTCCGATGAAGCTCGTTTGTGATAGCAAGTCTGCTCTTCACATCGCAGCTAACCCGGTTTTTTACGAACGTACCAAACACATTGAAGCAGATTGTCATTTCATACGTGATGAAATTACCTCTGGCAACATCACTACGTCTTATGTTGGTACGTCCGATCAGATCGCAGACCTGCTCACTAAAGCCCTCGGACGACAACAGTTCACTTATCTACTTCGCAAGTTAGGCGTTTGTGATCTGCACGCTCCAACTTGAAAGAGAATATTACGATATACTCTATATTAATATTAGGAAATCTTTTATATTTCCGATCCTTATGTATATCATTTATTCTCGTGTAAAATCCTAAGCCAATGTACTATATATACGATCTCTTAATATCAATAAAGATCAACGAATTCATAACAAGTTTGGCATTTATTTTTTTCTTTTGTATTAGTTTTTGTATTCCAAAATATATCCTTTCAGTTGTTGGTTAACAAAAGTATTCTGATGATAAAAAAAAAAAAAAAAAAAAAAAAAGACAAAAAGAAGGAAACTTAACTTTATCTCTCAGAGTGAGGTGAAAATTAAAGCTTGTTAAAAGAAGGCACTAACAACAAAAGAGGTGTGGCTGCTAAAACTTCTTCAACTGAGGATGATGATGCTGATGTTCTGCTTCTGACATTCTCTCTCTCTCTTTCTCTATATCTGCGCACCTTCGTCTATGGCTTAGGAACAAACTTCACACACGTGGTGAGTGCACAAAAAGGCTAAAGCTTTATCTTTTCCTTTTCAAACCCTTGTTGAAATTCGAGCTCTTTTTGGGGGTTTCTTAGATTCTGCGAATGTTTTTCTGTTTCTTCTGGAGGTACTGAATCAGCTTCAATCTAAATCTTCTTCTCCGATCTTAATCATTTCCGAGTTTCTTCACAGCTTGGGCGCGATTTTTCATGAAATCTGCTGTCTACTCTCCAATTCGTTTCCCGTAAAGTTCGTTTTTTTCTTCTTCTTTTGTAATGGATTCTTCGAGGTGATGATATCAAGATTTGGGCAGTAGTTAATTTCCAGGATTTGTGTGTAATTAGATTAGGGTGTTTGTTAGATTGGGGATACAAAAAAATCTGGGTTTTGTTTTTTTGTTGATAACGACGAAAAATTTAGAGTAATAGTATGACTATAATGGAGGAGAAGCAGAACAGTCCGATTGAAGAGAAGCAGCAGAGCGTTAATGGTATGATGAACCAAACTCAAGTGAATCAGACGAAATCAATGGAGAAACAGCAGAGTTTTCGGTGTGCAGAGAATAATCAACCGAGAAAGGCGAGAGCTTTAGAGAAACAAGTTAGTTTCCAAGGTGTGAATGTTGAGAATCATCAGCCAAGCAGGCTCGGAAGATCAATGGAGAAGCAACAGAGCTTTCGAGGTGTGACCGTAGAGAATCAGAAACGTGGAGCTATGGAGAAACTCCCGAGTTTTAACAAAGCATCAATGGAGAGGCAGAAGAGCTTCCGTGGTGGGTTTTTGGAGAAGCAGAAAAGCTTCCGTGTGGTGATGGAGAGGCAGCTGAGTTTCATCGGTGAGAGGAGAAAGAAGAATGAGTCACCAGGGAAACGAGGAGATTCGCCTCTTCATATAGCTGCTCGAACCGGGAACTTAGGTAAGGTTAAAGAACTGATTCGAGGTTGTTGCGATGGAGGCGGCGAAGAGTTGAAAGAGTTGTTGTCGAAGCAGAATCTTGAAGGAGAGACTCCTCTGTATACTGCAGCGGAGAATGGGCATTCGATTGTTGTTGAGGAGATGTTGAAGCATATGGACCTTGAAAATGCTTCGATAGCAGCTAGAAACGGGTTTGATCCATTCCATGTCGCAGCGAAACAAGGCCATCTCGGTATGATACTTTCTTTCGTTTCTCCAATTTCAAATGAGAATATAGAACCATCCTTACTTGGCTCTTCTTCTTTTGCAGAGGTGTTGAAGAAACTGTTGGAGACATTCCCAAACTTGGCAATGACAACAGATTTGTCGTGCACGACTGCGTTACACACGGCTGCGACACAGGGACACATTGATGTAGTGAATCTTCTTTTGGAGACGGACTCTAATTTAGCTAAGATAGCTAAGAACAACGGTAAAACTGCGCTTCACTCTGCAGCAAGGATGGGTCATGTGGAAGTTGTTAAATCTTTGATAGACAATGATCCAAGCATTGGGTTTAGAACCGACAAAAAGGGGCAAACTGCTCTGCACATGGCTGTAAAAGGCCAAAACGATGGGATCGTTGTTGAGTTGGTGAAGCCTGATGTTGCGGTTTTGAGCGTTGAGGATAATAAAGGAAACACGCCACTGCACATTGCCACAAACAAGGGACGTGTTAAGGTAATAAAACCTCACTTTCTTTTCTCAGTAATCCAAATTTAGTATTAGGCAAGTGTAATAGAATGATCCTTCTCTCGAGTTTCTCTGTTGATATTACTAGTTCTCATATAAACTGTTCATTGACTTCTCTGCAGATAGTGCGGTGTTTGGTATCTTTTGAAGGCATTAACCTCAACCCAATAAACAAAGCTGGAGATACGCCACTCGATATCGCTGAAAAGATAGGAAATGCAGAGCTTGTGTCGGTTCTGAAGGAAGCAGGAGCTGCTACAGCTAAAGGTCTCGGGAAGCCTCAGAACCCGGCTAAGCAACTGAAGCAAACGGTCAGCGACATTAAACACGAGGTACAGTCTCAGCTTCAGCAATCCAGGCAAACCGGTGTAAGAGTCCAGAAGATAGCAAAGAGACTCAAGAAGCTTCACATTAGCGGTCTAAACAACGCTATAAACTCAGCAACCGTCGTGGCTGTGCTTATTGCCACGGTGGCTTTCGCAGCCATTTTCACGGTACCCGGTCAATATGAAGAAGACCGTTCGAAAGGAGTGCTGCTAGGAGAAGCTCATATAGCAAATAAAGCACCGTTTCTGGTCTTCTTCGTCTTTGACAGCTTGGCGCTGTTTATATCCTTAGCTGTTGTTGTGGTGCAGACTTCAGTTGTCGTGATTGAGCAGAAGGCGAAGAAGAAGCTTGTGTTTGTGATCAACAAGCTCATGTGGTGTGCTTGTTTGTTCATCTCCATCGCCTTTGTTTCTCTCTCATACATTGTTGTGGGCAAAGAGGAGATGTGGTTGGCTGTGTGCGCGACTGTTATTGGCAGCACGATCATGCTGACCACGATCGGTGCGATGTGTTACTGTGTGGTCATGCATAGGATGGAGGAATCTAAACTGAGGAGCATAAGGAAAGAGAGAAGCAAGTCTCAGTCTTTCTCTATGTCTCGTATGCCTTCGGATTCAGAGATCCTTAATGGTGAATACAACAAGAGAATGTATGCACTATGAACAACCCAATTTGTAGAAATTTTGGACAGCAGGGTCTCATCATGTAAGAACAACCAATATATACTTGTACCTTGTACCTGTAAACCATTGCTATTCGATATTTTTCGAGTTTCTCGAGTAGAATAAACAGATCTGTAATGAGTTCGTTGAAGTATCAACGCAATCTACAACACTTTTCTGGTATCCAGTGAATCAAAGAATGAAAATGAAGAAACTATATAACCTGATGATACCCGAATCTTAGTTGTGTGAATATAAAAAACTTGATCTCCTACTGGGTCTAGATGCATTTCTTAAGATGGCTTCACAGTTCGTCTGCTCCTGAGATCTAGCCTATAGTGTGATGCTAACAGGAATCATCTTCAACCCCGTCTGGTGCTTCCACCGCGGTAAGTCTCTGTCGGGTAGCGAGTGGAACCCTCTGGATTCTTTGTCTGCTGACGAGTGGAACCCTCTGGATTCTTTGACTGGTAACGAGTGGAACCCTCTGGATTCTTTGTCTGGTAACGAGTGGAACCCTCTGGATTCTTTGTCATGCTGGTGGGTTTGGAATAAGCGAGAGTAAGTGATTTGGCTGCTGAGAAGCAATGGCGGACTTTAATAGAGTGGCTTGTTGTTCCGGTGGAGCAGCTTCCTTGGACGTTTATCGTCAGGGTCACTTCTTTGTCAAGAGTGTCTTCACACGATACGTTTTGTTGGGTGCCGTCAATGGAGTCATCTGAGATGTTAAAGTCTTCATGATGAACCTTCACCTGCACTGAAGCATCTGGTTTTATCATCCCAGCTCCTGGAGAAACCTAAAGGAAGGAAAGAGTTTTCTGATCACTGAATCTTGTGATGAAGAAGGGCAAAAACAGCGGTTCATTGGTGACAAGAAAGAGAATAAAAACCTCGAGCCAGCGAGGGAGACCAAAGGTGCCTCTTGATTGATTCTCGGGGTCCTCTCCATCATCTCTAGCGATAGTCTGACCCTTACAAAGGATGTTAAAGATGGCTCTACTCGAGTTTGACTTGTTTGTGATTGTAAAGATGAACGTGTCCTGACTCTGAAGAAGAATGCTGTTGGTACTCACTGATGTTTCTGGAACCAATCTTAATTCCTCGAACATGGCACCGAGTTTGTCACTGGAACTTACTAGTTCCCCCATCTGCTGTCTCCGCGCAGATTTATCGGTGTGAGCTATATTAGCGTGAATCTTACAGCGCACGGGTTTGTGATCACTCTCAGTCACATCCATGCAAGCTTCATACCTGTAAACACAACGCATACGGTGGTGGGAGAGATTGGAGGTGAAAGGAAGAGAGAGAGAGAGAGAGAGAGAGAGAGAGAGAGAGAGAGAGAGAGAGAGAGAGAGAGAGAGAGAGAGGTTCATTATGGAACATTACATTACAGTCGACGAAACTACAGGGCACTTCAAACTGCACTCAGAAAATTGGCTTGTTTGGTTGTCTCTGTATATAACTCTGTCACACCAAGCGGGTATTCGCTTTTTCTCCCCTGAATCATACCCTGGACAGATAGGAACACCGTTGAAACTCATGAACCAGGAGAAGTTGAAATCTATCTATCTTAATCTATTACCTCCAAGGCCTGGCTTATTCTTTTCAAATTTGTAAGTCGGCGGGAAGGTGATCAACGCCTCACGCATCCCTTGGAACACTTTTCCCTCGTTCATCTCTGCCCTGAGTTGGTCTTTCTCTCTAAGCCAGTCAAAAGATCGGTGCGAAATGAAGTCCCTCGCTTCGTCGTACGTTATACCAAACAACCTATAATTGAAGTCACCGAAAAATGCAACAAAATCTGCAGCTGCTAAATCAGACTTCTCTTCTTCAGCGCTGATGTTTGTATTCTGGGGGGAAAAAATGGAAAAACATGAGAAGCCACAGACAACAACAGACGCTCGATTGTGAACCCAAAAAAATGTTCAATGCATGCACTAATATAATAGGTTCATACAGTGTTATTCTTTTGCGCTTGAGCAGATGTTGAAGCTCCGGCTGCAAGAGAAGAACAAAGCAGCCAAAATAAGTACATGGAGAAGGCAAGTGAGCAAGACAAAAACAGGTACGGCACTATAATACCAGCTGCAACAGTATATAAACTTTGTGCTTTGGAGAAGACCATTGACCGATATATGTGATTGAAATCCGCGTTTCTCCGAGTAACTGCCTCCAAGTGAGCAGCCAAGTGACAGTTCACAAAGCACATAATCCGGTCATAAACTCTGATCCTCAAGCCCACACCTCCCTGTTTTTAACAACAATAATATAAATCATCCTCAACGGAGCTAACCATTAATTAGTTTTGTATTAGAAAGATAGCTGTAAAGACAGACCTTGTTGCCAATGGCGCGGCCAAAGCCACATGGAACTGCTGCGACATCAAGATCTCCAACATGTGATCTAATATCCTTCCTCACCCTAAGCAGAAAGTTAGAAGACATGAGGTGGGAAAAACAAAAGATGGAATATGATACAACTTAACACTCTTAAGACAAGTGAAAGACTTTTTAGGTGTTATGTAAGGAAAGAAAATGACTCTTGTCTGGTACACCTGCTGCAATCAATAGAGAAACACAAAAATGTAACTCGTCTGGAATAAATTCTTCGCCTACCAAAGAGATATTAGGAGTCCCGCCAACTGCCTTGAACCCATTCGTTCGAAGGTATTTCTCTCATCCAGTGCATTCCCAATTGCATCCAGCCACCATTGCCCCACAGCACTTCCTTCAACCCCTACCTACAACCGAAACACATAGTATATGAGTAAATAGCTCTAACGGAGGCATAGTAAACCATTAATCTTTCAGTAGATTTTACCAAAATAAGTCATTACCGTTTCCTTAGCAGTAGACATGGCAAGGAAACCGGCCCCCATATCCACCTCTTGCAACCCAACAGCGACAATGCCAACATCTGAAACAGCAGAACCCAGCCAAGACATAAGCGCTCCGCGTGAAGCCCGTCCTTCACCAACATTCCATGTACCAACCAAGATTTTAACACTGTCTTGTCGGGCATATGCAGCCTCCCTTCGAGACAACTCTGTTCGGATTACGCTGTCTAGAGGTCCTGGAGATTTCACACACCACCCTCTTACACCACCATGAGTGGCTAAACTAAAAACGAAAGGACCACCTGCTGCTAGCTTTACCACAGGTTCATTGTGTGAGACCCAGCTTGCAATTAGCTTTCCACCAAGATCCAAAATCTGGATGTAACCACTTGCATAGCCCACATATATCCGATCACCAAATGTGCAAAAGCACAAAACAGCCTGCTGATGATGATTCACCTCCCGCAGGCGGTTCCCATTTCCGTCCCACTGAGCAATTACGCCGTTCATGCTTCCAGTCCATATTAATCCATCTGCAGCTATCGCAATAGCTTCTACTTTCCTTGGATCTTCTGCAAAAGCTCCTGCGCTTCTAGTGGCTGCTCGACGAACAGCTCCTGCAGCTCCCATTATGGCATGGCGTGATCTTTGCAGAAAGCCCTGAGATTTTTCCTTTTTTGGTGTGGAGAAGAACTTCACTTTCGTTTCTTCAACTTGTTGACCTTGCGAAGCTGGCATGTCCACACGGTTCTCGACTTGCCCATCGATATTAAAAACTTTCAGAAGCTCTTTATTCTGAGCATCCCTGCACAGAATACGTCTCTCTTTGAATGATCAAAACAGAACCACAACAGAAAAAAACTCCAAATATTCTGATATACAGAGACATTCCAAAAGGGATTGACATATTCATAATAAATAAAAGCCTACCAAAGAGAGAATGAGAGGTGCTGCACAGCCCACACTTTAGCTCTTACTGTATCAACTAACAAAAACTTGACATCTGAAGAAGATATGCTGCATGTACCATTGACAGTAACTTGGCTCCTCAGGTCAATACCAGACCTCTCCACTAACAAAGCAGCCATATGCTTCTCCTCCGGTTTAAGCACAAGAGACTTGTCTAAAGAATCCAAAGTCCATATTTTTATCACACCGCCTTCAGAGCATGACCACATATCACCTGCATCACAAACAAGACAAAAGAAAATCCTGAGAATCCAAATACTGTCTCTGTTATAACAAACCAACAAAAACTAGATTAGCCCTCAGAATCAGAGAACACTAACCATAGGAGCTCATGACAATGTGATTCACAGGACCACGGTGAGCTTGCCACGAGAGCCGTTCCTTGAAAGGCTTTGAATCATCCGCAGTGTTAGTAATCGGCTGATTCATTTTCCAAGCCTTGATTTTGCCATCCTTGTGGCCGCTCCACACAAGCCTATTGCCGTGGTCAATCATCAAACACAAGGTAGGCGAGATTATAACAGACTCATAAAACGGCGCCGTGTCCTCATCCCCTCGCCGTACCTGCCCGCCGATGCCATAGCCGACCTCGTATGCTTCCTCCATGTTCCAGTATCTCACGCCGTTCTCCTGCCCCGCCCATACCTGACTTTCCGTACAAGCAATGGTCCTCAGAAACTTTCCCGTCTGTGTATCTCTCAACGGATGCGGCCGGAGCTCAAGACACGGAGGCCGCCCAGGGTTCACCGCCGTGCGTACCGGTACTTTGAAAACGTCGACGCCGCCTCCTGCGCCGATGACTTCCGGGAGGGACTCGATAACGTCATCTCCTCCGAGTCCGGCAGTCTCACCGCGCTGCGATGCTGGTTTGGACGGAGGCGTGACGAAACCGTAATCCTCACCATTGCCTCTGTCTCCACCGGTTCTCCCGTTGACGATGCATACTCCTTCGGTGGAGAACTCGCCGTCGGAGGAATCGAAATAAACAGGTTCGGAATCAGCCGTCACGGATCTAGAGCCCTCGTCAAGGCTGTATTTGCGGATCGGGTGATGCGGCTTCTGCTCGTGTTGCTCAACGTAGGAATGTGTCTTACGCGGCGGCGGATGAGAGGGAACGAGTGACGCCAACGCCTCCCGCTCATCTGCTTCGATGACAACTGAATCCATGGAAGAAGATCAAAGGAACTCGCCAAATGAAATAATTCGGAAATCGGGACGAATCCAACCATGAAAGAAGGAAATGAAAATGAGAGAAGGTGGGAGATTGAGATTGACAGAGAGAGAGCGAGAGAGAATGGAGAAGAGAGCCTTGTTTACGGACGCGAGAAGTCTCTGCTTCCGAGACTCGTAATTTTTCATTCATGTTCTATAAATAGCAATTTGAGAAAGAAAGAAAAAACAAAAATTTGATTTCTTCTTTCTTCATCAGTTCATACATTTTTTCTCCAGACTTAGAGAAGAAGCTACTTTACATAATCACAAAGGCGTATGCTTAATCGACACTTACATCGACTGAAGGAACCTGTTCCTGTGAATTATCGACACCATTCAAACAAGGCGGTTTTGCAGCTCCATAGTAGAAGAAAGCCATGATTTTTGAGAGCTCATCTGCTGTTCTAATGCCTACAAAATATGTTTTAAAAAATAGTTCTCACTACAACAAAAAGGTTATACAGATTCCGGTATTGAACGAGACATTACCTTTCTCACGGTATAGTATCTTTCCGGCTTTCGTGAAGATAATCTCTGGGAACACAGATACTTGCAGAGCAGAGACCAAATCTGTCTCAACCACAGCATCAACAGCAACACACTGCAAATAATAATGACTCAGGAGGATTAAGCACATACCAAAACATACAGCAAGATGGTTTTACAAATAGTAAAGAGGTGTTAAGACTTACTCTTGGCGAAGGAAGTCCACAATTCCATATTACCTGAATCGCCTTCTCTAGTTCTTCCCTGAACTTCTCGTTTTCCTTTGGCCTGGAATTAGCCGACACTCGTATCAAATTTCAACAACAAAGCTAGAACTACTATAGTCAGGATTGAAAGATTGCATCAGCAAGTCGAATTTAAGCAGGAAGAGAAAGAGCTAGATCTTCCTACAGATATAATAGAGGTTGAAACTTCTAAACACCAAAGTAACTTGAACCCATAAACAAAAACTAATCATCCAAATGTGTAGCAATGTGACATGCAAAACAAGCATGGAATTTGCCAAAGTCAGGTATCAAAGAGACCTTTTAGACAGTAAAGCAAAGAGTTACCACTGACCTTTTGTAGCGGTTGTGAACAAGAACCATGAGCGGACTGATATCTTTGAACACTGCCTCCTCCCATTCTGCAGTTGTGAGATCTTTAATCGGGCGTATGTAGTTATCATCTTGCCAAACAATCTCCTTCTCACTGTCATCTACACCATCGTCGTCTTCATCATCATCATCCTTCTTTTCGTTCTTAATTGTAATCTTATCGAAGAACTGATTGAAGCTAAACCCCCAACCGTCAGCATCTTCAGGCCAATTAGGATCCTCCTCGTTCACAACAAGAGGGTAATCAGCAAGAAGCTTCTGCATCTTCCTCCTCTTCTCGACGAGGTCAATCTCTTCCTCTTCAATATCAGGATGATTATCAATCACCTCTCGTATCTTCTTCCTCCATTCCCGTCTCTCTTCTGGATCATCGAGGCTTGCTTTCTCGCTTGCTCTTTTGCCCGAGGTGTCTTTTTTAACTTCATCTTCCTCATCTTCACTGTCGCTTTCTTCTTCTTCTCGCCATAACTTCTTCCCAAGCTTATCAACCAACCCAAAAGCTTTCACATTTCTTCTACACCTCGTAACATTCCCTCTCTAGCCATATGTCAGAGCGAGAAAGGTTTCAAATTTAATCGATTCGGAACTTATGTAATCACAATTAGAGGATTAGGTCATCAGAAACTAACCGAGGAGGCAATCTTCACCGAACCAAAACACTCATAGCTCAACGAAGTAACCTCAAAACGATTCCTTTTGCAATGGGACGAAGCAGGAACGGTTGAAAATAGTGAGAGAGAGCTGAATCCATTCTCTTTAACAGGGCAAGTGAACTGTGTCGAATATGGGAGAATCATTCCCCTGAAACAAAATTTCACCAAAACAAACGAAAATGATTGGATAAAATCAAACACCCAACGACGTCTTTAAGTGAAATTTTCCAGACCAAGAAACCAAAATGAAATCACATATCAGAAGGATAAAGGGGAAATATTCAGAAACTGGCTCGCCAAAGAGAGGTCGAAGTTAAGAAAAGAAGAGAAGAATAGATTTGAATCAGTTCAACAAACCTGGAAACAATCGGAAAGCTTGAATTTGGCACTCAATTGGAAAATCTGTATTTGCTTGTGCTTCGTCTTCTCCAGCTAAAACCCTATAGAACCCCAGTTTTGTAAATTGGGATAGAATCGTAAAACTCAAATCCTCAAATAAAGAAAATGACACGTCACGCACAAATAATTTGGGCTGCTAAATGAACTAGAAGAGTCTGGTTGTTTAAGTGACTGATTATTTGTTTTGTTTTGTTTTGTTTTTTCAAGACTCACTAATACTATAGTGACAAACGGTATACCTCTTTTTCTTTTGTGTTTTTACATTTTCAAAGTTTCTGCCATTATAATCATTCCAAATTTATCATATTTTACATTTTGAAAAATAATTTTATTATTTATTACAAGATACATTTTTAGTTTATTAAAACTAAATTTTTAATTTTTATGATTATTTTATAAAAACTTTATTTTCTTGTAATGCTTCTTTTATTTATTAATCAGAAATGAAAAAATATTACTACATAATTTTATATATATATATATATTCGTTATAAGATGAGTATATTTTAAAAAGATGAGAAAAAACTAACACTCTAAATTAAAAGTAGTTTTACCAAATTCTATTAGTTTCAGAAAAAAAATTAAAAAACAAAATTTATAATTACAGAAATTAAATTATTAAGAAAAACTGTAAACAAAAAGTAAAATAATAAAATTTAACTATGAAGATTCAAAATTAATAAAAGTCTTAAATTTGATTGGTTAAATATCAACTTTTAACGACTCTAAAATAGTTAAAAGTTATAATAATTTAATTTTTTGAGTTTAATCACTTTCCTTAAAACTGTATAATTTGGTCGTAATTATATATTAAATGTATTGCCAATAGAAAAGATTTACGAAAAATTACCTTAGTGAAAATTTTGTTAATATAATAACACGATAATGTAAATATTTCAGATGTAGTAATATTATTGCTCTTTATATATAATGTTAAGGAGAAGTGTTTACATAAGAAGTCAATAACAATTTAGAGAGAATAATTTGACCGAAAATAATAATTTTGATAACGGAGTTGAAGATGAAAAAGAGGTATGTGTTTTGTTTAAAACATTCAATTTAGGCTTGAATAATTAGGTATTCGTTCGGATTTTGTATCAATTTTTTCAAGTTTGCAAATATATTAATACACTATAAATTTATGATTTATTTTATAATTTTTTTTAGATTGAGTTTGGATCGATTTCACATATTTGAATTATCAAAAATTTATCCACAATATCTACAAAAAAACTTAATTTAAATAAAATTTTGTTAAATTTTGTAAAAATAATATTTAATTTAAAAATATATATAAATATAATTAATATATTCAGTTTATAATTGTAAATTTTAATTATTTATATTATTACTAAGTTTAAATATAACTAATATTATTATGTATATAATTATTTTCCGAATATATTTTTGGAGTATATTAAATTTATCGTTCGTTTTCAGTTCTTTGTATTGAATACATGATCTATTTGAATATTTATATCAATTTTGATTCGGTTTGATGCCTTCTAATTCGATTCAATTTGATCTAATTCAGCTGATCATTTGCAATTAAGTTTTATGTATTTATTAAATATTAAATTAAAGTAAACCAAATAAAAATACAAAATAATATGGATTTAATAAAGAAAGAAAGACAAATAGGGATTAGTTTATCTTTGTTCTATTAGGAAAAGAAATATGTAAAAAAAGCCAAATACATCCTCTGATCTTAACTATATATAATCGAGGCAGTAACGTACTTACGTACATCCTCTCTTCTCATAGAGTAACCCGTTACTAATTAACCCTATATGTTTATATATCATTTGATAATATGGACTGTTTTGTCTTTTTGTTGACCTAGGCTATAACAAGATTTTTCTATTATCTAATCAAAGTTTAAGACAAATTACAAGCTATAGATTGATTTCTTATAATAGGTTCTTTATGGAGAAAACGATACTTTCCTTGTTGTTACTCAACTTTGTCTCCCCAATACCAGTAACGAGGCATTATAATCCGACTCCGCTAGAGATGTTGGCTGCATTGGCCGCGGCCCAGTACGATGCTTTAGAGCCAGATAGAAGGAGCCCACTGGTTCCTGCTCCGGCTCAAGCTCCTAATACTCCTTCTCCTCAAGCTCCGGCTCTGGTCCAACCTCCTGCTCCTGCCCAAGCTTCGGCTTCGGCTCTGGCTCTGGTTCAGCCTCCTGGTCCTGTCCAAGCTTTGGCTCCGGCTCTGGTTCCAGTTGAAACTAGAGATTCTCACAACCAAGACCAAAGCCGCTTGGCTATGTGACAAATCTCTGTTTATTATGGACCCTAGTTTCATTATCGTGTATTGCAAGTTTCATTATTTTCTGTCAAAAGAGTTTTTCTCTATTTTAATTCTCTCACTGCCTTTTATTTTTATATATAAACTTCACTCGAAAATACAAATGATATACTCTGTCTGAAACCAGACTGAGATTTGTTGCTTAGAACAAAAGTTTTAATTAAGCAGATTTGGTCGAGATAAGCCAATCAAACAAACCAAGTTTAGGCTCTCTTCTTTTCTTGTTGCTTCTTAACCTCTGGTTCGAATACTCGACCAGTTTCTTCCACAAATCTCCCACCGTCCATCCTTTGGATATAACCAATTCCGTTACCTGTAACCAAAACCGGATATTATATATCATCAGAACATTGCTCTGTTTTGTAATTTGATGTACTAAACGAGAAAACCCTAAACCTGATTTAGGTTATGTAGTGCTTCAAATCCAAAAGTGTAGTAAGACATGAACGGTCTTCTCGCCTGAGAAGAATGTAATGTTGTGACTTATGAGCCAAAGAAACAGACATTGGTTGATAATTAAGCACTTAAATGGAGAGAAAAAAGTTGAGATATGACCTGTGAAACAGCAATCCATTGAAGAAGAGATTTGAGCTCAGGATCTCCACCATAAGCACCACATCCCCAATTCCCTGTAGCAACACTAACTCCATCTTCATGATCTATGCACTGATTCTTGCAGACATGGAGGAAACCACAGAGAGCCTTATTCGTCTCCCTGAAAAAAATTAAAATGGTTCAGAAACAGTTTGATGTAAGACTTATAATAACACACTAAAAAGATTTTGTTCAGTTTTACCGGATGAGGCATTCAGGTTTGTATTGGGAGATTCCAGGATGACGCAGAGCATCTATGGCGACGATTCTTGTTTTTCGCCTTCCAAAAACATCTTTTTCCTTTGTGTCCATGTAATCACCAGCAAACCGAAAGGAAGATGAATATCTGAAGAGTGTAAGAAACCATTTTCTTTCATAAGCAAAAACATTTTCAGAAAAGCACTTAATGTGTCTGTGTATATAACTCAAAGTATCTTTGTAAAAAGTTTGTAACCCTGTGTAACGAGAGAATCTTTCAGCACCAACAACTTCAATTGCTTCAGAGACTTCCATGGCTGGTAAGAAGAGCATACCAGCTATCAATTCTGGATTGATCATGAATCGAATCTCTTCCTGTGTGTTTCAAGAAATCACCCACTTCAGAAACATATAGTCAAGATTTGAATAAAATTCACGAGATCAAAAGGATTTTTTTTTTTAAAGTTATAGACCTGGACACATCCCTTGCGTAGAGCGCCACCTCCTAAGTACTTGTTGGCAAAGTCAACTTCAAGAGCTTCAACGCTTTGATCCTCTATCAAACCAGAAGTATTAACCTAACACCATTGAGAAATGTACAGTGAACCAGAGCCAATAGAAGTAAGCAACGATCTAGTTAGTTAATAAGTAACCTCAACAGGGCAGAGAGTGAGAGTAGATGTGCTCCAAAAATCTTCATCAGGACAAACTTCGAGACCAGAAGGATCTTGTTCTAAAGAGAGAATCTTTCGTTCGAACGAGACGAATCCAGGAGGGATACAGGAAGATAGCCTCGTGAAGTAATGAACTATGCACTTTATCTTGTTTTCTTGGTGCTCGTTTCGTCCCGTGTTGATTAGGCTTCTGCGATAGGTCCAAACACAAGATGTTGAGTCTTGACTTTGTATATGAAATTTGTTGTTTTGAGAATGTATACCCGAATAGTTTGTCGAAATTGATGTTTGGAAGCTGATTTGAGCTTCTATTATCGACAGGAAACAAACAGAAGAAAGAACATGAAAGCAACGCTCCTATAAGTTCCTGACATAGCCACACAAAAAAAAACACATTTCAATCTCTACAGCTGTATTGAGAATTAGGTTAAGAACATTTACTTGGCTGAGGAACACAATGCCGGCTTTCTTGGGGCCTAAGACACGAAGACCGGTTTCAATTCCATCGATGAGACTCTGAGAATTTAGATAGTGTAATTCCAAGAGAGATGGGAATCTCAGAAGAAGACAAGCCATTGCAGGTAAAATATCGTTAAACCATTTGCTTGATTCTTCTTTCGACATTCTCTGCTCCAAACAAATTCATTATTCAATCCATCAATCCCAAAAATCCATATCGGATATAAGAAAACCTTTGAGTTTTGTTTTGTTTTTGTTACCTCGTCGAAGAAGAGAGCGTAGCCTTCAAGAGCTGAAAAAGAAAGCTGAGAAGGTAAAGAGAGAGATTGTCTCATGTCAGAGATGGAATCAGACAGTGTTTGTCCCGAGTCAACTCGGCTGTAACTCGGTCCTTTAGTCATAGCTTCTAAAACTTCCACCAAGTGCGACGATGGCCAAGACAGAGATGATTCCTGAATCTCTAGCGGTAAGTAGGCTAAAATTGTCTCAAGATCTTCCCTTTTCTCCATTGCTCTGTTTTTTTTTTTTCACCTTTGTTTCTTTTGATTCTTGAGAGATGAAGTTGCAGGTTTCTTTCAGAAAATGATGCCACAGCATATATATATAAATTCTCTAATCTTTACAGCTCAACAGGCTGATTAATTAAACTAAACACTTTTGACTAAAGAGATTAGTAGTTTATTATATCCTTGCTTGTGGATCAAGAAACGTGGAAAGGATTATTCAGACAAATTCCACCACGCTGATTTAATTAGTGAATGGCGGATACTCAGCCTGGCATTCGAATTTAAATGATAGAAAAAAGGATTTGATTATTCATAAAAATCCAATGCAAGAGACAACATAGAACAACAACATATTGATAGCGTGTGCATAAAGCCATTGAGGAGAACCTCAATTACATCACAAACACATTGTGCAGATTTAAGGACGTTTTTTGTTTGTAAATTTTAGTGGATTTGAAAATCTATATATTCGAGATTTAGAAATCTCTTCATATATTCAAATGGAACATATAGATTTCAAACTAAATCCAGTGTTATTGTTTTTATGATTTTAATTTTTTTAAAATTTATTATTGATTGTATGATTTTTAAATACTTTAAATTACTTATTATTCAATCTTACTTTGAATTGAGAGTGGATTTTAGGGATTTATGTGGATTTACATGTTAAACATATAAAAAAACTCAAATACCAGAGAAAACCTACAAACTCATAAATAATAACTTAAATTTACATTCTAGATTTGAAAAATCAATAAATTCTACAAGGATAAATCTTACAAAGATTTGGAAATCAATAAAATACATAAACAAATAACACCTTCTAAGATTTAGAACTCTTTGTATTTTAAGTATTTAAAAATCCTTCCAAAATAATAAAATCTAGGGAAAATCTATTGTCAAATTAAATCCATATATGATTTTGATTAAAACTTAAAAACCATAAAACCAACATATGATTTTAATTATAATTTTAAAATCGTAAAATAAATAACATATGATTTTGATAAAGATAAGTAATATTACGTGATTTGTTTAGATTTGAGAATCCATTAAAATCTATAAAATTATAATTCCCACGTTAGCATTCGAGAATATTTAGTAGTTCTTTCTTATAAAAAGTTTATTTTGTTAATTTCGCTATATTAGTTTGTTTTCTCAACGACTATAGCGACTAGAGAACCTTCTGAGACATCTATTTATTTCTAATTATGTTGAAAATATTTTTGTTTTGTTAGATAAATATAAAAAAAAAAAGGAAAAGGAAATTAGAGGCAGCTTCTTACAGATTGTAAGATTATATCACTAATAGAAACAAAAAAAAAAGGAAAGTGTATCAAACAAATATTCGCTTTTCAGGTGTCCGCGTAGGAAAAGGTCTTCGTGAGTCAACCAAAAGTCTATATAAGCTAAGTGTTACTAACCCCTCTCGGCCTCTCTACTATTTTCTTATTGTTGTTATCTCGGAGATTCATTGCCGCACAAAAAACAAAAATACCAAACTTTCGATAACCATGATGAGAGACGACGATGGTGGTGATGATGATCAACGCCGCGAGGGTTCGCCGGGTGAGAAGAGATCGTTTGATCTTATGGCGAGGTTGTTTGTCGATTTCGTTGATGAGGAAACAAAAGCCAGACGAGGCAACGAAGAAGAAGAAGAGAGAAACAGTGTAGGGACGAAATCTTTCTTCGGAAAGCGAAAGACTGATGCGGTCGACGATAGTCAACAAAACCCTAACCGTCATGATGCTTCTTCTTCAAGTATGTCCGACGACGAACCTATCAGAGAAACAAAGCCTAATTCGGTCAGAGGTAAGTCGGTGAAAGGTTTAACGAAACGAGGGAAGGTTCTCCGAGGATCGGGCTCCTCTCAAGGGTATGAGAATGAGAACATGGAGGTGGTTCCATACGCCGAATCTTTCTTGGGAAAACGAAAGATTGATGAGTTCGAGAGTCAACAGCAAAACCCTAACCGTCATGATGCTTCTTCTTCAAGTATGTCCTGCGTAGCGTCCAAGAGGCGTCTTCTGGTACCCGACGGCGAACCGATCAGAGCGGAGCCGATTAGAGAAATAAAGCCGCCGGTCAGAAGTAGAATAAAACCGGCCATAAGAGAGCCGGTCAGAAGAGAGAGGGCGGTGATGCCGGAATGGGTGGTTGACCGGATGAGAGAAGAGAACGCTACAGATGCAAAGCTGATCACGGAGAAGGGTATTAAGGCGAGTGATCTCAGTACACAACTGGCTCGTCTCTTGATTCCATTCAACCAAATGGAGGAGATGGACTTCTTGAACGAGGCAGAGCAAATCATCATTGAGGAACACCGCAGCAAGATTAGCAAAAAGGGAGTTCCTGTGAACTTGGTGAGTGACAGTGGCCGTGACCGTGACCGTAACCGTAAACAGTGGAAGCTTAACCTCAAGAGATGGGATATGAAGACCAGTTGCAATTACGTTCTGAATTCTGGATGGAACGATGTCTCCGGCCATCACAGGCTGCGAGTTGATCAAATTATTCGCCTCTGGTCCTTCCACTCCCAACGTGGGAAGCGGGAGCTCTTTTTTGCTCTCGAACTCGTTCCGCCGCCTCCAGCTCCGGCCATGGCTCTAGCTCCGGCTTTGGCTCAAGCTCAGGATCCAGTTCCAGCTGCAGCTTCATCTTCAACACCGGTTCCGGTTGCAACTAGAGATTCTGAAGAGCTACATATTGCTCGCGAACTCGTTCCGCCGCCTCCTGCTCCGGCTATGGCTCCAGAACCGGCTTTGGCTCCAGCTCAGGCTCCAGCTCCACTTCCAGCTGCAGCTTCATCTTCAACTCCGGCTCCGGTTGCAACTAGAGATTCTGAAGAGCTATCTATAGGTGAAGCTAGTCGCCTCGAGGCCCAAGAAGAGACAAATACAAGGACCTCACCACCCCTTTCCCCCAGAGGTCTAAGGGCGGCGGAAATCCTGGTCCTCTTATCAAGAAGAGGTTCCGGCCAAAACAGCTAATCTGTTGTCTTTTCCTGCCATTCAAATTAACTTTTTCTTTTTTAAAATTTCAAACTTAGCTTATATTCCATTGACAGAAACTATTACAGTGACATGACGTAAGTCATAATAGTTTGTCCCTTTGTGGCTTTTCTTGTCCTTTTATTCTTAGTGATGTTTTTGGCAAGTTTTATTTCCAGCTGCCTTTATTTCATACACATAATAGATCCTCGTGCGAACACACAGAAACTGGTTTGATTATGTCTTAACACACACATAAAACTGCTTTAAGCAGACCAATTAGATAAGGAAAACATAAGTTAAGACAAATTCAAAAGCGGTAAAGAGAACATGTGAAGATAAAAACAACTTCAGATGTCAGAAACAGACAGAAGTTACGTGAGCCACGAGAAGAAGCCAAGCCTTGTCCTTCTGCTGAGCCTCTCTGAAGAATACTCCACTAGCTTACTCCAGAGGTCTCCTACTGTCAACTTTTGTGAAGCGACCTTTTCCATCACCTGACAAAACATTTATATATATACACATAAGATTCTTAAGGTCTTGAAATGGGAGAAAGGTGGTTCAAGTGAGTTAGGATTCTAAAAACCTGATTGACATTTCGAAGGGCTTGGAGGCCAAAGGTGTAGTACGACATGAAGGGTCTTCTCGCCTGGAGAAAGTAGAGGGAGCATTTTAGCGGTTAAACGGAAAGATAATTGGTGTGTTGTGCAAGAAAACCTGATGAAAACAGAGAAGCGTACCTGTGAAATGGCGAGCCACTGAAGCATGATCTTTAGTTCTGGATCGCCTCCAAACACACCGCATCCCCAATTCCCTGTAGCTACACCAATCTTCTCTTCATGATCGATACACAATCTTTGAGAGCTTTCTACAACTTGCCTAGCCGTGGCTGATGATATTCTTACCGAGGATGATGCCTCAGGGTGAGTATACTTAGTCTCTGGTCCATCAATTTGATATTTACATTGATGCAGGTATCCGCTAAAAGCCTTGTTAACCTCTCTATAGAAACAAAAGGACCAATTAAAAAAACCTTAAAACTATACTAAAGATAGAAAGAATGAGAAAAAAAAGCTAAAAGACAAGTTTTGATTACCGAAGAAGGGCATCAGGTTTGTACTGTGTACTTCCTGGGTTAGGAATGGCATCTATAGCTATGACTCTCGTTTTGCGCCTCCTTAAAGCGTCCAAGTCTTTCTTGTCTGTGTAATCGCCAGCGTATTGAAACGAAGGTCCATACCTACAAATGGCGCCACCATGTGTTGGATTTCTTGAAGAACTACAATAAAGCTTAACATCTACTTCAGTTCACTGGTACTTACCCTGTGTAACGTGAGAATCTTTCAACACCAACAATCTCAATTGCTTCATTTGCATCCATACGAGGCAAGAAGATCATCCCAGCGATAAGCTCAGGATTGATCACAAACCTTATTTCTTCCTACATATGAAGACGTTTTGACATGTTCAGCAGATCATAATTGAAGAAAAAACTTGGAAACAACTACATAAACTGATTCAGTAGACAACGTAACAAGTCAGACCTGTAGAGTATCATAACTCAGAGTGAGGCCTCCAAAGTACTCATCTGCAAAATCCACTTCAAGAGCTTCACCGGTTTGATCTTCTATAGCTCCCGAGGTATGAATCTACTCCATTACAAAAATAGATCAAGAGGATGATAACGAATCTTCTGAAAGAATTGGATTCAACGTCGAAGAAGAGTGTTACTATGTTACCTCAACGGTGCAAAGCGGGGTGCTGGATGTGGCCCAATAATCAACCTCAGGACAAGAAACATAGTGAGGATTGTAGTGTTGAGGCAGAACTTTCCTCTCGAAAGAAACAAAGCCTGTGGGCATACATCGACATATTCTTTCAAAGTAATGGATAAGGCATCTTATTTTGTTTTCCTGCTTCGTGCAGTGACCCATATATGGAAACCTTTAAGAAAAAACACAAGAAAGATTTGTATGACTTTGGGGAATATAGTTGTAACTTGTAAGGATAAGAATGGAGCCACATACGAGAACAGATCATCAAAGTTTATTCTTTGAAGATGCTTTAAGCGTCTGTTAACTTCAGGGAACAAACAAAAGAAGGAACACGCAAGAAGAGCTGCAATCAACTCCTGCAAAATATGGCAAGTATACTTGAGGGGTGAAAAAACAGAAGAAGAGATGAATGAATCTTGAATGCAACTTCACCTCTAAAGAATCCCAGAAAGTTAATTTATCAACTTTTATTCAGTGCGACCAAATGCACATGTTTTTGTTTGGACTCACTCAGAGAGTATACCTGGCTAAGAAACACAATGCCAGCTTCTTGAGGGCCTAATAGACGAAGCCTAGAAGTGGCTCCACCAAGAACATGGTCTGCCTTCTGATAATGCGTTTCTAACAGTGAAGGTAACTTGATAAGTAATCCACACAGAGCAGGAACTACCTCACCAAAAAACTTAGCTGATTCTTCTCTCGAAATTTTCTGCATCACAAGAAAACAATTATTTGTAAGATCTTTATAAATCCCTACCATTTCTTAGTGTCCCAGGCTAAATGTTTTCAGCAGTAGTTTACTCTTTAAAGACACAATGAATAAATAACACATACAACCAAGAAGATTTATGAAAAGACAAGAGATTTCTTACCTTGTCAAAGAAAATAGCATAACCTCGTAATGGATTAGGTGCGAGATCAGATGCATCCAAGGAGAGGGATTTGCGCATATTCATGATATGCGAAGCAAGAGCCACTCCAGAGTTGACCATTGACTTGTTCGGTCCCCTAGACATTGTTTGGAGCTCTTGTTCAACAGAAGGTGGCCAGACTAGAGATGAAGACTGAGCCACAAGAGGCAGATACTGAAGAAAAGACCTAACATCTGCCCTCTTCTCCATCCGTATTGCCTTTCTTAATTTCCTGAAAGTGATTTACAAAGAAGATAAAAGTCTTCAAAGGTTTTAGGAAAGGAAAGAAGATGAAAGTCTGATGTTGTATCTAATATTATTTCTTTACGACAGACAAACCCAAAGTCAAACAGGAACACGTTTTCCTGAGAGACCAAGTCCATGAATTTACTCTGACAACAAATATTTATGACCACACACACTGTTCCCGGGAAATTTCAGCAAAACTGATGTCATTTAAATAAAGATTATTCAAACATTTGACCAAAACCATAAATCAGGATGACTCAAATGAATATGATGCTTGAGGAACAAGAACTGGTGAAAAATACAACTTATTCATGCTTGCAAGTTGTAAATAATCACTTTTAACAGATCCATGTGGGCAAGGGCAATATACAGTATGGAGATGCAGCAAGCAACTTAATCAAGGCGTATTCGCAGAGTCAAGGCGGCTAGATAGCCTCATTGGTGGTAGCTATAGATGGAAGTAGCCAAGAGAAGAAGCCAAGATTCGTTTGTTTGTATAGCCTTTGAGCAGAATATTCTAGCATCATGTTCCAGAGATCTCCGACGGTCCATTCATGGGAAAGAATCCACTTGGTCACCTGTCCTTGTAAGATAGATGTATCAGTTCCAAAATTAATGAACGTACACACACGGCATGAACATTACAACGCACCGGATACTCTATTCCGCTTACTACAGATCGAACTCTTAGTAAACGTCAGATTCTGAAAACAGAGGAGAAAAATGAAGAAACTGAAAGAGAGGTTCCAGAATAGAGACTAATAGAGAGCAAGAGAGATTACCTGATCTATATTTTCGAGGGCCTTCACTCCAAATGTGTAGTATGATATAAATGGTCTCCGTGCCTGGAGAGTAGTCATGAGAATGCCAAGAAAGAAGCGTTAAATGAAAACCGCTATATATCTCATCGTCCAAACCAAAGCTTTGAAAAATTTGGGTCTAATTCTAGAAAATAGTAGCCAAGACTCAAAAGTTACATGGAGTGCTTCTTAAAGTCACAACACACCGAGTTTGTGGTTTCAGAGAGAAAGGGCACCTGGGAAGCAGCAAGCCATTGGATCATAGCCTTTAGCTCTGGGTCTCCACCAAAAACACCACATCCCCAATTCCCAGTGGCGACACCATCATCTTCATGATCCATGCAATCAGCTCCTTCCACATAAAAGTCTCTGTCAAAATTGCTAGCATGCTTTTCTCTGTTTGTCTCGACATCATTTAATGGAGCTCGGTGTGACTGTACCGGAAGCAGTAGACAATAACAAAAAGAGCCTGAAACTGTTAGATTACATAAAAAATGCATACTAGTAAAAAAGGGTACTAAAGATTCGTAGCAAAAACTCCAACCATAGTAGTGTCTGTATGCAAAAGACCAGATTCTTTGTCGACCTGAATTTCATTATCTCCTTTGTCTATGGATATATTCTGGTGCTGCCAAGATTTTCTATGATTTAAAAAGCCACATAGAGCCTTGTTAATTTCCCTGGAAAGAGAGAAAAAGAGAGAAAATCAGACATTAGATTTCAAGTGTAAAGAGAATAAAGAGTAGCAAGCCTCCAAAATGTCAAATAACCACAGATGTTAGATTTTTTAAAGAACCTACGAATTCCGGAAAGAAAGGTTTCACATACCGCAAAAGGCATCTATCTTTAAAGTGTCTCATCTTCGGGGCACATAATGCATCTATTGCAACAATTCTGGTTCTTCGCCTTTTGAAAGAATCCATTGTCTTTTTGTCAATGTAGTCACCAGCAAACCGAAATGAAGATGCATACCTATGGCAGAAAATAAGGGTACATTAGAATCAAACATTATTCAGAAGACTCTTACCCTCATTTATAATGCATACCTACAACATAAAACAATTAAGTAGTTGCACACTTCTTTTACTATTTTTCAACGTGCCTCAATCAGGACTTATACAGGCTGACATGTCAACGAGCCTATTGGTCCATAGAAGTACCAAGATACAGTGACTATTACAGCCACTATTTAAGTAAACACAGAACAATGCTACAAAACTACCAAATCTCACCCTGTGTAACAAGAAAATCTCTCTGCACCAACTATTTCTATAGCTTCATTGTCATCCATACGAGGCAAGAAAAGCATGCCAGCGATTAATTCAGGGTTGATCATGAATCGTATCTCCTCCTGCACAAGAATCCAATTAGAAATCAGCGAAATATCCCAAGCCATTAATTTACAGTAGATTCAAGAATCAAGGAACAAATCATCTATACTTCTGAAATCTAATATGCAACATACGAATCTCAAACCTGTACGCACCCCCTATTTAGGGCACCACCTCCGAGATACTTGTTCGCAAAGTCAACTTCTAAAGCATTATGAGGTTGATCTTCTATTAACCCTGAAGAGTGAACCTACAACGATAAAAGCTGTCTCTGAAAAAGTGATCTACAAGCATTTGCAAATGTTGTTGTGCAAAGTATCGAAATCCACAACCCTGTTCCTGTTACCTTAAAAGCACAAAGTGCAACGTCAGACTTGCTCCAAAAATCAGCCTCAGGAGCAGTGATAGAAGAACTGTGGGATTCAGGTGGAAGAATCTTGCGTTCAAATGAAACGGTTCCCGTAGGTAAACAGGAGCACACCCTCTCGAAGTAATGCATAATACACCTTATCTTGCTTTCATGACTTTCACTATAACTTTCATAAAGGGTCCTGAAAAGCAAAAGAAAACTCTGATGTCAGACTGCATTTACCCGAAGTCGAAGACTTCAAAACGTACCACATTAAAAAAACAAAATCTTGACATGACACATGCTAGAAGACAAAGCGAGAGATCACATACGCAAACAAATTATCAAAGTTGATGACTGGAAGGTCTTTTGCACCTCTATTATCAACTGGAAACAAACAAAAGAAAGCGCAGGCGAGAAGAGCTCCAATCAACTCCTGCAAAGTTAAAAAAGCGTAATGTAAACGCAATGCAAAGTGATAATCATCCATAAAGACACACACTACATTACCGACAAGACCAGGTCATCATTACTCTTCCGAATACATGTTGCAATAGCCCATACAGTACCTGGCTGAGGAAAACTATGCCAGCTTGTTGAGGATCTAACAAGCGGAGACCTGTTTTGATTCCACTAACGACATCATCAGCATTTTGGAAGTGAACTTCTAATAGAGATGGAAACCGAAGGAGTAACCCCGCCATTGCCGGGATAATCTCATCGAACCACGTCTTTGATTCTTTCTCACGAATCAGCTGCAAGTATTAACGAAAGAAACTTTCACTTCCACTACTCAATCCATCACAAGGAAACTTGATTTGAATTGAAATAAAATTCAATAGAAAGGAGGATAATCACTTCGTCGAAGAGAAAGGCGTAGCCTTGAGAAGCAGAGGGCGCGAGAAGGCTAGTTGATAGAGAAAGGGATCGCCTCATATCGGAAATAGCTTGCCACAGAACCTCTCCCGAGTCAACTCGGCTGTGAGACGGTCCTTCAGACATGGCCTTTAGCGCCTCCACCACGCGCGGCGGCCAATACAGCGACGACGAACGAATCACAAGCGGAAGGTACGGAAGAATCGAGTTTAGATCTTCTCGATTCTCCATTTTCAGATTTTTTTAAATCTCTCACAGTTCTCTCTCTTCGTATTGAAAACAGCCTCTGCGGCAAGATTCTGCCGCCGCTCGGAGAAGCTTAAGTTTAGAGTAAAAGTCAAGAGTGAGAGGTGAAGTCGACAAGTCGTGCATACGCCGCCGTAGAAAACCAGTTTGCTTGAACCGGGAAGTTGAACTTCAACCGAAATAAAACATGTTGTGGGATAAACCGGTTGAGCTCGGTTCTTTGGTATGTCACTTTGGTTTGGTAATTCGCTTAAAAGCGGTTTTCCTTGTACGGATTCTGATTCCTTAAACACACAAGAATATCCTTCACCAAAAAATCAGTATCATTTTCTAATTTTATCCATGATTCTATCTTTTTGAGCGTTACTTAATAGAGTTTGGAGCTTGGAATTTGGAACTCTTGAACTAAAATCATGTAAGAAGCCATTGGAGTAGAAACTTAATAAAATCACTTTTAGCTTTTGCAAACACTTCAAATTGTTTTACTGAAACTTGCAGAAATTTAATATGTAAAAATCCTGAGGTTTCGGTTCATTATCTCTTCGGACGGAAGATCAAAACAGTTCATAATTAATATTTTATTGTCGCTGGTACTGAAATTCTTCTACTCTCACCACTTGGAATCTTAATTGAGACAACGAACTTACGGACATAAAACGCTAAAGAAAGTGACTGAAATAAAGAAAAAAAGGTGTGGAACACACTTACCATTACCAATAATTTACACTAATTTAATTTCTAACGTGTTGAAAACGGTGGCCCACTGTGGATCCCACAGAGTAGACTTTGACTTATCAAAGCTGATACAGTCAAGTCAATAACAGACTCGGTACATAGAGATTATTGCAAATTTGCAACTAGCTATAATGCTATATATATTCACATTTTTCTAAATATAATATTTCCCATACTATATACATCCTGGAAAAATAACCAGTTCACAAGTAGCCAACCTCAGTTACCTCACCATACAAACTATAATTTGCCATTTTTAACAATCATATGTATACCAATAAAAACTAACTTGTGAGTATACTTTGAATTTTATTTTTAGTTCAATAATTATCATTCATGTAAACTTGGGAATATATATCAAATATGAATTAATATATTTTTTAGAATAAAAAAAACCATAGAACACGTAAAAGACTTTTCAATAGATTAGTAGCAGTTGCTGACCATAAATAACCAGAGTAGAGACTCCGACATCATCCACAAGAAGAAACTTTCTCTCAACGAAAATTATTAAAATGGCTGTTCCCACGGGAAACGCCGATCTCTTTCTCCGGCATGTAAGCCTCGCCGTTCTCTCCCTTCTTCTTCTCTCTTCTTTCGTCTCCTCCACCACCGAATGGCTCGATATCGATTCCTCAGATCTCAAAGCTCTTCAAGTCATCGAAACAGAGCTTGGAGTCAACGGTCAACTCTCTTCGTCCAGTGGTGTTAACCCCTGCGGTCGCGGTGGAGTTTTCTGCGAGAGAAGACGCTCCGCCGCCACCGGAGAATACGTTCTACGTGTCACCAGGCTCGTCTACCGATCCCGGAGCTTGACGGGGACTATCTCGCCGGTGATCGGGATGTTGTCGGAGCTCAAGGAACTCACTCTGTCTAATAACCAGTTGGTCAATGGTCTTCCTGCGGATGTCTTAAACTGTAAGAAACTCGAAGTCCTTGATGTTCGAAACAATAGATTTTCCGGTCAGATTCCGGGAAACTTTTCTCGTTTGATCCGTCTTCGAATCCTTGATCTTTCTTCCAACAAGTTCTCCGGGAACTTGAACTTCTTGAAGAACCTACGCAATCTGGAGAACCTCTCCGTTGCAAACAATCTCTTCTCAGGCAAGATCCCGGAGCCAGTTGTGTCGTTCCACAATCTCCGGTTCTTTGATTTCTCTGGAAACCGGTTTTTGGAAGGTCCGGTTCCGGTTATGAGCAAGATCAAGCAACAGACATCTCCACACCAAACAAGACACATTCTTGCAGAAACTCCATCTTCAAACTCCACGAAGAAACCCAACAACACCACCACATCAAAAGCAACAGGTGGGACTACAAAACCGGAGAAAAAGAAGAAGAAGAAGAAGAAGAACAAAAAGAAGAAAATAGCGGCATGGATCTTAGGGTTCTTCGTTGGAGCCTTAGGCGGAACAATCTCTGGGTTTGTCTTCTCGGTGATGTTCAGATTGATTCTTCAAGCAATAAGAGGACCAGAAAAACCATCAGGTCCTTCCATATTCAGCCCATTGATCAAAAGAGCGGAAGATCTAGCCTTCTTGGAGAACGAAGAAGCTTTAGCTTCCCTGGAGATCATTGGAAGAGGAGGTTGCGGAGAGGTTTTCAAAGCGGAACTACCCGGAAGCAATGGGAAGATCATCGCCGTTAAGAAAGTTATCCAACCGGCTAAAGACGCCTCTGAACTTGCAGACGAAGACTCCAAGTCCATGAACAAGAAAATGCGGCAGATCAAATCAGAGATCACCACAGTCGGCCAAATCCGTCACCGGAATCTTCTCCCGTTGCTAGCACACGTGCCGAGACCCGAGTGCCACTTCCTCGTTTACGAGTTCATGAAGAACGGGAGTTTGCAAGATATACTGTCGGACGTGACTGCTGGAACAAAAGAGCTAATGTGGCCAGCAAGGCACAAGATAGCCATTGGTATAGCTGCAGGGCTCGAGTACCTTCACATGTATCATAACCCGAGAATCATTCACAGAGACTTGAAGCCAGCTAATGTTCTTCTTGATGACGACATGGAGGCCAGAATTGCAGATTTCGGGCTGGCAAAGGCGATGCCCGATGCGGTCACACATGTTACAACCTCGAATCTTGCAGGAACTGTGGGATACATAGCACCAGAGTATCATCAAACTCTCAAGTTCACAGACAAATGTGATATCTATAGTTTTGGAGTGATTCTTGGGGTTTTGGTGATTGGGAAGCTTCCTTCAGATGAGTTCTTTCAGCACACCGACGAGATGAGTCTGATAAAGTGGATGAGGAACATAGTGACGTCAGAGAATCCAAGCGTTGCGATTGATCCCAAGTTGATGGAACAAGGATTCGATGAACAGATGCTTCTGGTTCTGAAAATCGCTTGTTACTGTACTTTGGATGATCCGAAACAGAGGCCGAACGCCAAAGATGTCAGGACTATGTTGTCCCAGATCAAGCACTAGTTGTGTCTCCCAATGCTATATTGTTTGCTTCTAGATGTGTTTTCTAGATTTCCGGTCGCATGATAAATAAACTAGTGTTCGCTTGGCCGAAGCTACGTGATGAAGATGTGCAATGGATTTTAATTATCTTTTATTGCTCTAAACGTAAATCATCAAGTCTAATACAATAATCTTAGCTATATACATGAAGGAAAAAAAGAAAGCACTTCAATTAACAACCATGGTATGACAATGCCTTACTTTTTCTCGTTTGTCTTCTCTATAAGCAGCCGTCGAGAATCTCCCTCAGATATTCTAGCTGTTCATGACTGCCTTCATGTTCTTCCCACTAAAAAATAATAAAAACAAAGTCAACACATGTTGAGATGGACAAACACTATCAATTATGTTTTTCTCTGCCACAACAAAGACCATGTGAGCAGTTTATTCTTTGATCAGAAAAACGGAGAACAATGTCTACTTGATTTCCATCATTCCTAGTAACTCAATTTTGAAAATGCAGTTTTCAACGTTTTAAACGCACCTTTTGATGAGACAAGGATACCACCTTCCACCCAGCAGCAGTAACATATCGCCGCTTCAGCATTGTATGCCCTAATGGTAGTCCTGTAAAGACACAAAAAATCGAAATTACCATTGAGTTTGGGTTGGCTCCATCAAACACCAAGATATAAATAAAGAAACAGAGTGATGACACGTACCAGTGTTTCTTGAGAAATGTGTTGGCCCGTCAATTTCTAGAGCAACTTTCTTCTCGACCAGCGCAACATCCACGGTGTAGCCATCCACATCATGTTCTTTAACCCAATCAAGCCCTGTGCTTATGAGAAGGCGTCCAACTTCTTTTTGAAAAGATGAGGTTATTTTCTGATTGAACCTTTTTGTTTTTCCTGCACGGGTTATTTTTTCTTCGAGCCCATCACAAAGTGACAACTGAAGGTGGGGACACTCAACTTTCAAGCACTGATTCACAAGATACACTTGAGAAGCAAACATGACATCTTCCCTAAACTGCTCTGAAAGCCTTTGCTCCTCCAAGGTGGTTAACATATTCCATATAATGGCAAAGAAAGGTCGCTCCACTCCCCCAAGAACAGCATAAGACCATGCTATGTTTCCAAGCTGGTCCCTGTTAAAGCTGAGTGCTGGAGGTCCTGAAGCACCATCGCTTACTTCACCGTCTGATACTTCATCATAGTTTGCTACTTCTTTCGTCAAGCAGCACTTGAACTGGTCATTCCCTTTGAAAGCAATATCCAAAGATTCAAGTAAAGGATCAGCTGGCTCATAAAGCGAGGCAAATGACCACAACAGTTGAGCAATCTCTTGGCCTTTAAACGTAACGATAATAGCAGATGCCCTCTTTGACAACTCAGCAAAGAGTTCTGGAGAAGAATGCCGCATGGAAGCAAAAGCCCCTGCAATATTAGCAACGTTCTGAGCATTGAACTCCCCAACCTTTGATGTGGCAACTTCTGCGACTCTATCCATCTCTGTCAAATAAAGCAATTCACCCCCGATTTTGGACAATGCCCAGGATATATTTGAGATCCCTTGAGCTGAACATTCTGGTAGGCAAGTCATTGCAAGAGCAACAAGCATCGACATCTCTCTTTGCCGAGCAAACGCAAGCCTACGAGTTCTCATCATCGAAACTTTCTCCATGTTCTTGGCAATTCGGTGGAGCGCAGTTGCAATGTTTAGTGGAGACAATGGCGATGGGCTTAAACCTTTGGCAACAGCCATGATTGTCTCAGCTGTTACTTCGAGTACCTCTTCAGCGGTTTGTGCTTCTATTATAGCTTTGTTCAGGTTGATTTCCTTCATACGATCAGAAGGTCCTGAGAACTGGGATAGCCTCTGAACTAATTGCTCCCTCGTCTTCTCCTTCTTCTCCTCAAACATTCCACCAGCTAATGAGCTAACTCTCTTCCTCAGCTCCCCCATCTTATCCTCCACCGATCCATCTTCAAAGTCCAAATCTTCTTCGTCGGAATCAAAATCATCTTCGGGAACACTTTTGATTTTGACCTTGTCCTTGTTTCCAATCACTTTCTTGCTCTTTTTCTTCTTCTTCTTCTTCTTGAGGGGCATCACCTCCGCCATTCTTGAAGACAATCCTCTAGCCTCAATCGATTGAAGTGCAATTTTCCTTGCCCTCACACACCAATCCATCCCTTCAGTGTCATCAAGCGCTTTCGACTTTGACTGCTTCTTCCTCTTCTTCGGAGGTTGGATATCCAACGGATCAATCTCCCCAAGAAATTCTGACTCCCAATCCAAATCATCATCTTCTTCTTCTTCTTCTTCTAGTTCTTCCTCTGAGTTACCAATCACAGACGAGCTCTGAAACAAAACCAAAACAACGACAATACGAGAACATACAACAAGCTTAGAAACCGTGGACAATTTGTTGTGCAACCTTATCCAAAACTTTTACACCATACGAGCATCATGAGTCGCATACAAATAAAGACTAAATCAAAAAAGCAAAACACCACAAGGACTCATTTTGCCTAATTAGTTCCAGAATTATATGAAATGAGTCTACTTGAAATTTCCCAGAACTAACCACGGAAAGAGGAAGGTGCTCGAGCGATCCCGTACGGCGATTCAAGGAAGTCCTCTGCGCGAGTGGAGCAAGAAATCGATTATTCTTATCGGGGAGAGCCCATATCCCTGGAATGGAACCAAAGAGCGTGTAAGGCTATAATAGCTGGGTAAGTTGATTAAGAAACAGCGAAGAGAAGAGGAAATGAGATACTGACCTGCTGCGAAGGAGGAGGAAGAGGAGGATGAGAGATGGAGATGGCGGCGACTGTGGTTAACGATGCGGTTGCGTAGCTCCGGTGGACTGAGACAGAAGCACCGCCATAATGGAACTACACACTCCATCTTCTTCAATCGGAGAAATTTTGATGTTTCTCTCTGTTGCTGAAATTTTTACAGAGACTGGGTTTTAGCTACAACCCTCTCCTTAACTTAGTGAGTTTTGCTTTCAAAGATGTAAATTTATCCTGACGATCCCTCAAAATTAGCTTATCTATAGAAAATGCCCACTAATTTTCTATATATCCTCTTTATATAGTTATAGGTAAAATTTAGTTAATTATGAAGAATTTGAGGAACCTTTTAAATCACTTCTTTTTCTATCTTCTAAATTTTTAGTTTATTCAATTGATCCCAAACTGAAAATTTCTGTTATTTTCATTGAAAAATTCGAACAACCAAAATCATATATGGATAGCATCGGATGATCTAACAACAATAACTTTTTGAATTGTTTTTCTATCAAATCCAAAATGTTACAAAATCCAATCCCATTAATATATACTTAATAATCTTCAGTATACCATGTATCATGAACATTTGGCCAAAAAAACAGAGAAAAGCATGTATCAAATGAATCTCAACTCTGCCTATACACAAATCACAAATGTAAATTAAAAAAATAGCAAAGAAGACCCAAAAAAAAAAAAAAAAAAATCAAAGAAGAAGAGAAGCTTTCTTGCTTCTTGTGTAAAAAAAGAATGGAGAGAAAATGGAAAAAGCTTTTGTTTCTGTAATATATGCAAAAATCATGGCTTAATAAAATAAAATAATTATAAAAAAAATTGCAGCCGTTGGAACCAGACCTTCTATAAGAAAGAGAAGGTTTCGTCTAGACGATTCGTTTGTCTGAATTACTCCGGCAATGTCTGGAACAAGAAGTGGAAATCAGATCGCTGGCGGAGAAGCGGCGGTGGATCAACGTCGGAGAGGCTAATGGTTCCATTGTGGAAAGATTGCGAAACTTCTTCCACTGAGAAAGGAATGCTGGAAGATATACCGGAAACAGCGACTTGCTTTCAGGATTCGAGAGTAAATACGCAGAGAGAAATTGACAAGAAAGCGAGAAAACGTATCTCAACTTACCTCGAATCAACATCTAGCAAGAAAGAAGGGTAAGTCATGTTGACTGAATCTTCCACCATTAGTTTTCTTATCTGCTTAATCACCTATTATCAGCACAAATCGTTGGATCATGAGTACAGGTTTTTGTTTTGTTTTGTTTAGCTGTAACTTTGTCTCATAGCCATATTTTGTCTTTGGTTTGGTTTGATCCATTAGTTACCTCTGGGGAGAGTCCTTGGGTTCCATATTTGTCGTCCCAAAACATTGTCCCAATTCGATATACTTGTGGAATGCTTAGTACCTGAGCCAAAAGCCAAAACAAGAAAATACTTTGAGAATTGTGACAAATCAAGAAAAGGAGTTCTATGAAAAGTTGCAGTGTAGCAAATAACTGGAAGTAGGACTGTAGGAGGGTTTTAGTTTAATTTATTCAAATGAATTGCTTTTACTTTCATAAGATCCTTCCATATACAATATGCTTTGCATAAAGTTGTGGTTTAAGGTCTTTACCGGGCATATCTCTTTTGTGATCTCGTCCAATGATTTTTGTGTCTTTTGATGCAAGACCTGCAGAGTGATAATGTATATCAATTATCAAATGCCGAATTTTTCACCAGTTATGTATTTTCATCAACAGATTACAGATATGGCTCGAGGTTGGTACCAGAAACTTCACTGCTTGCCTAATGTGTTGAAGTTCATCCCATGGTGATCTTGCTGCCTGTAGGAGACAACAAAATATAGTTATATAAGTTAAATCTTTTTGCTCTTAGCATAATTTGGTTATTAATGCATTTAGCCTACCTCGTCTTCTGCCTTGAGGCACCACTGCTCTAATTCATGCAAGCCCATTTTCAGATATTCTCCGTTGCTAAACGAACAACACTCTCGGCGAAGCAACAAACTGCCGGAATAATATAAACTTTGTAAGTGAAGCTACCTCATTACTAAATCTCTAACTACTTGTGTTGTGCCCTACCTGTTAAAGAGCTGCACATTGATGTACGAGAAAACCTGATGGAAGAGTTTTCTTGTGATCATAGATGGGACCTGATCATCAAGACTTGGTCAAGAAACAGAAGTGAAAAATTTTAAGCTTGAGATGAAAAAAAAATATTCTAAAGTGCATTCTCTTACATGATTCTCTGCCATAAAGGTCAAGGTATGTTCAAGCTTGTTGATAATGTTCTGCCATTGTACATATGATGCATGTTGCTTAGCAGTTGTGTTCAAGTGGCTGCTTTTAGTCACGTCTCGCAATGATCTGGCTCTCGTTGGTCTTGGTGCCTGGCTACATCTCACATATTAGTATATTACCACATTGTTTAACATAGAATCACTAAGATATGTTCCATAGTAACTTGATGAATGGTCTACTTACGTGGATACAGAGATTTAATAATGGGTTTATCTCTTTCTTCAAGTTATCTCGGATCATTCCATATGTTTTCTCAACGTATGCTGCTAAGTGTTGCTTGAATAGTAAAGCTGGGTATTTAGCTTCAACCATCTGTTGTTGTTCATTTGATATTCCAACCATCCCACTATAGCCACTGGTTTTCTCCAACCCCACTGAAGATGATTGCATTCCCTACAATGTTGTTAACAACAATTACTAATGCTCTTGCAAATTTGATTGATCAGAGAGGTTCAGTTTTTACGAAACTTACTTGGACCAATCTCCCAAATAGTATAGTCTGTGGTGATCTGTTACGTCTTGAAGCCGTATTGTTTGTATTGATGAACTTGAGTGTAGATTGTAGAAGATACAATAGAGTAGCGCTTGTTGTGAGCCAGTAAGTTAGTTCCCTTGTGTTATCTTGGTTCTTCTGGACCAAAATTTTAGTATAACTTGAATATAGAGTTTTGGTTTTAGAGGATTAAGAATATCAAGTCTTTAATTTATTACCTCAATGCATGATCGAATTTTATGAACAATTCTATCAAATATGTTTGTTTTCTCTGTTTCGAATGATCTCCATTGAAGTAGTGCCTTGTAAACTATCCATGCTGCCACAGATCTGTCGTTATCGAACCTTCTCTCGTCGGTGAGGCATGTGATCAGCAGATCATGGCTCTCCTGTTCAAGTAGTAGTCATTATAAATTCTTCTGTAATGAAACAGATACTGAAACATCTTTTGTTTAGTACAAACAAGTTCTTGAATGATACCTGTTGCCTATCTGTTAGGGATCTTTGTTTTGCTAACACAGTGATTGGATTCCTTGGCTCCTGAAACATATAACAAGAGATGAGGAACTTAATAACAATGTTTCTTAGCTGGGCCTAGCAAGATAACACACCTTTGTTACCTGAATCTCTTCTGTTTGATGTCCATTTTCATGATTCTCATCCTGTACAGTTACATTACATTAATGCAAACGTTATACTTTTTTGACAAAAAAACAAATTGTATGTTGACAGAAGTTGTACCTTCGCGGATGCAAGAACTGCTTCAGGACGCACTTTCTTCTCTACAGAAGCTGTCTGTCTTCGAAGAGATTCATTTTCTGACTCTAGCATTGTAACCCTGTCCTTCAGACTGATAAGAGGTTTGTTTTTCAGATATGTGATGATATATCAGATAACAATTTGAAAATTTTCAAGTTTACACAGATATGCATGAAAGAAGAGATATAGTGTACCAAGATGAGAGAACTCAGAACTGTTCAGCTCACAAGACCGTACCTGTTTAACTCTGCAGACTCTTCGGCGCTTGTTGAATCGGCTAAAGCCTCCTGGCGCAAGACCTGATTCTCGGATTCAAGATTTGACAGGTTCGTATGTAATCTGGAATTTGCCAGCAAAATTCATGAACCTTGACTGTAAAACAGAAATATGATTTTTAATGAAGGAACTGGTTGAATCTCTATACCTTTCAATGACCTCTTGAAGTTGAATGGCCTTTGCTTTTGCATCTTCTGCTTCAGTTAGATTTGCCTTGCTATCTCTCTCAAATGCAGAACATATTGACTCAAACTCCTCAATTTTTCCTTTTAATTTCTCTACCTCAACCTGCATTTTTGAAGATATTGTATCAGGCAAAGATCTGCTAGTTAGTTGAAATTATAGCTCAAGAATTTACTTCTAGCTCCTTGTTTTGACTGCTCAGTAACTCCAGTTGAGTGTTGTCTACCACTGGAACCTCTTTGATGACTGGTGGAGCTTGTTCAATGGCTACTTTTGCTGCTTCTTTCTCTCGTGTGATTGCAGCGTGGGCTTCTTCTAGCTTCTCTTGCAATTCAGCTAAAGTATGTTGTAGGTTTGCGATTTCTTGTGCTTTCGCTTCTTCGAGATCAACCTAATGCATATTTTTGGAATTAAACCACTATGTACTTTTGACTCTAGTCATCTAAGGCAATTAGAAAAGCAGAACAAACAACTCTGGTTTAAATTTCATTGACAATCACCTTTTGATGCTTCTCTAACTCGAGACGCCATGTTAGCTCTTCCACACGCTTCTCTAACTTGTCCTTGGCTTCTTTGAGTGCCCCAGTTTCTCTTGCAGCCTTTGTTAGGAAGATTTTGTTGTTAGAATTTTTATTTTTTAGTAACTTGATGAGATGAATCACTCAAAGTACCCTCTTATCAGTAAGACTTACCATTTTGAGCATCTTAAGCTCTTTTCTAGCTACTTTAGCTCTCCACAGACATTGTAATGCTAATGTTGCTTTTCTGTACTGCTTATAAGCTTCATGAGCTTGGTGTCTTCTCCATTCCCTCTGTTAGAAGATATATCAGTAAGAATTATCATAAAAGCATATCAAAACTATCTTCACCGTAATGCTTTTCTCTTCCATATTATTTGATCCTCAGACAAATAAGAATAAATATATGGAGCACATCATGCATAAGTTTCTTAGTTAAAATCTTGATCCCTTTTGGGTGAAGAATAATCTAATTTTTTAAAATCCTGTAAGATTGGTTACTGCTTTTGAATACTTGATAGAAAATTAAGAAGTGCGAGTTAGTACTCAAAAACTAGTACCTGGATTATAATTGCTGCCTTTGTTCTTCTTCTGTGCCTATGTTTGTTTCGAGCAGCCATTGTCCGTAAACCGGTCTGAATAACTGTTGCTGATGCCTGGAGCTTAGTGTAGCACTTCCTTGCCCTATGAGCACGAATGTTCTTTTGGATACGAACTGAAGCAGCTTCCCTTCGCATGTTTTGATATAACTTGCGTGCAAGTTGTGCTATATAAGCAATACACATGACACACAGTTAGTCTGACATTATATAAGTTAAGAATGTTGATATTGTTGATATAACAGTTTTACTTCATAGCTTTCTGTTGAGAGAAAGGTAAAAGAATAAAACCTCTCCAGAGTTTTTGGATATAAATTGTAGCCTTTTTCTGCCCAAGGAACTCTTTTCTTGTCAAGTAAGTCCTGATCTGCCTCTGAATGTGTCTAACGGCACCAGCCAAAACCTCGGTTCTTCTTGCATCTAGTTCAGCCATCTGTCCTGCCCTAAGAAATATCTTTGTTTTCCCTATCTGAAAAATGAGAATGCATGTTTTTGATTGAAATGTTAGTGAATGTGTTTCTTTGACGTGCCTGTACAACCCTGAGCTTTACATACCTGGTAGCCTTTTAAACCCATTTTGTCACAGATTGAAGCACATGCAGACTTCTCGTCGGATCTGTCAATAGATAATGTAACTTTCTCAGCGTTGAAGGTGATCATAATCTATCTTCTTTCAAGATATGTTATTGTGTATTTATATACCCTTCTGGTACATCTGTGGCTAGCATCACAAAACGATCAAGAAACTCATCGAATGCTCTTTTTGTTGGATAACCAGCACAACTGATTCTTATAGCTTCAAGAACACCCTGTTCACTTACCGTCTATTAGCATAAACCTTAAGGGAAAACATGGACTTGTTCAATTAGAAAACCTGAGGCTTTATGCTTACTCCACATCTTAGTTGGTTTAGGACGGTGTCATTCTCAAAGATCGATGGCTTTAGAACTGTATTTGGCTTCACACATCTTATATAATGGGGCTCCGTTGTGTTCAGTGTCTCCATTAGAGCTTGGAGTTGTTGCTAGAGGTAAGGTTAGGTCAGGAATCAAGATCTTGAGCAATGTGTAAATGTATATGTCTTTAGATTGGCTTACCTTGAAACGGGTACCGATTGATGAGAACTTGGACTGCTTTGATGCGTCCTCTGCAAGTGGTGGAAACAAATTGGCGACAAAAGAGCACTTTGATGCATCTAACAAAGCTTGATGTTCTGCCACAACGTAATCCTTGTTCTTGTCGAGAAAAAACTCTGCTGAGTATGTAACCTGAGACAGAAAAAGCGTTCTCAGTAACTAGCTTAGCTGTAAGTTACTTTAGCTTAGCGTCTAAAATTTTGTTTGTTGTCGTCTCACATCTCCTGCATAATGGTTGACAGTGAAGGCTGTTCGGGCAAGCTTTGGTTTGCTGAAACGCTTGTGTCCTTTATATGTTTGATACATCTTCTGTGCAAACGTCTCATGTGTCGACTTAGGAAACATGCTGCAAAGATAAACCTTATCGTTGTTACTATAGATTGATATTTTGAAACTGTACTTTCAACCAAAAAGTGTAGGATACTTGCTGATACACTTACCATGCTTCATCAAGTAAGGCAATTATGCCTCCTGGTTTCTGCAAGAAAGAAATGATATTGATTGTTCTCTGTGCTTGTAAAGATTTATGAATGTTAGTTGCATAGTTTATACCTTCTCAATAAGATCTAAGACATCTTGGTTATCAACAAATTCAACATAGCTCCAGTCTATTTCCTCCCGAGTGTACTCCTCTTGCTCCATCTTAAACACATGCTGCAGAGAAAAAAATTGTTCCATGTAAAAAGTTTCTTGCAGTGTGAATTGTTTAACAGTGTTTTTATATCCTACCTGATTGAAGTGTTGTTGCAACTTCTCATTTGTGAGATTGATGCATAGCTGCTCAAAACTATCAAACGAATATTTGTATTAGATCTTAACTTCTGTATTGTATCCATAATTCAGGTTTACCTGTTGATCTTGAAGCTTTCAAACCCATAAATGTCGAGGACACCGATCAAGCTTGTAGCATTCGGGTCTTGACCTATTGAACTGTTGATCTTATCCACAATCCTGCCATAATTGAGTTCATGTACAGGTCACTGTTGGAGACTGCTCAAACTGAGAACTGTTTCTCTAGACAAAGTCCTTAAGGAGAATATCCATTTTTGTTTCAAGGGTTGGGTTTACTCACCAGTCAAACAGCCTGGAGTATACTGTCTTGGCCAAAGCATCACGGTTCAAGGCTGCTGATTCAGGGTCGAGTGGCTTTGTGATGTTACCATCGGGAGTGACAATTACACGCTTGCAGAGTGAGTCCTCCAGCATCTTCTCATTGCACCTGCGTCAAGTGAAAACATTGCAAAAATCTCTCAGCAATGTCATTGGAACTGTGCATAATTTTCTCGACGTCTAATGTTAAAAGGATGGCTAGAAGAAGAAGATGTACATGAGTAACTCTGCTGCTGTTTGAAGATGATATCTTGATTTATCATCCCTGAGTTTTGAAGAATCCGCGTCTTCTCCTTTGATAAAATTGACATTCCCAAGATGAAGTATGGCAGCTACGACTCGGAATATGGCATCCTGAAGTTGGAAGTTTCTGGTCAGTATAATTTGAAATTTTTTATCACCATTTTGGTATCCAGAGTCACGAGACAAAACCTGTGCCTCTTGTCCAATGCCAACAATGTCCATGGCGTTTCTGGTCTCCAAATACTCTCTTGCATCATCTACATTTGAAACCTCATAGCAGTTTGTCTGATTCAGATAGTGGAACGTCCTTGGATCCCCTAGCTTGAATTTCTTGACTTCCTGCAAAATCGAACTATCTCTAAGTTTTGCAGCTCTGTTGCTTTCAGGACTGTTACTGGATCATCATTTACCTCAGGAGGAGCTGCACAGAGCATGTAGAAGCAGTGATAGTTTCTCTCAGGGTCTGAGACTTGGCAAACACGGGACCGTTCGAGAAGATAAGTTCGGATAGCTGCTCCAGATATCTTCCCACGCTTGTCAAATTGGATCTCAACGAATTTTCCAAACCGACTGTTGAATAATTACAAACAGTCAAAACATTATGTTCAAAGTAATCAAGTGTTTAATTAATAAGTATCACCTTGAATTGTTGTTTTTCACAGTTTTGGCGTTTCCAAAGGCTTCCAACACTGGATTAGACTGGAAGAAACAGAGCAGTTTTAGAATGGTGGAAGCGTTTTGTTCGATCGCAAGATAATAAAAAACAGAGCAAAGAAACACTCACCTCTAGAACTTGTTGTTCAACGCTTCTCCCTTCAGTATCTGATCTACCTCCCATGAATGCAAGATACCTCATGAGCATTTTGGTTGTCTCTGTTTTTCCGGCTCCGCTCTCTCCACTTACCAAAATAGACTGGCTTCTTGCCTCATTTATCATCGCCCTGGTATTTATGGAAAGCTTTTTGGTCAAGCTAACCACTGCTTAAAAGTCTGTCTCTACTCAGGGACTAAACAAACAACTTTTTTTACCTGTAACTGGTGTCTGCAACAGCAAACAGATGCGGGCTTAGCTCTCCAAAAGCAGCTCCTTTGTATTGCTCCATCATATGAACACTATACAAATGCGGAAGTCTTTGGAACGGATTCACAGCGATCAAGATGTTTCCGGTGTAAGTCTGCACTATCCAAGAACTTGCAATTAGATCGAAAATTTCAAAATTTTGATCCAGAGGAATGTTTAAGATATCAGTCTTGGTTACTGACATATATCTCGTTTAAAGAAAACCGGCAAGCGAGATTGTGGAGGACCCCTGGCTCATGGAGGTAAGCCAGTTTAGTCATATCGTCAACTCCTGCAGGAGGAGCCTCTGTATCCTTTGGGTAGACACTAGAAATGCTAGCAACGATCTATGAAAAATCAATAGCAAAATAGATCAAAATCCTTTTACAGTTTTGTGTGGTTTTTTTTTTAATAAATGAAAAAGTAGCAGCTTCTCACTGTTTTCCCATTTGCAGTGAGGATTGTGGCATTTGTGCCTTTGATTTCTGTTACTTCTCCATTGATCCATGCGAGTTCTTGATCCTCGACCCAAACATGTGACCCGAGTGTGATATTTACAGGAGTCCCCTAACATTGTTCATCAAAGCCAAGCTTTTCAGTTGTGACATTTCAGAAGACAAAAGATAGGATATATGCAACAGAAGGCTTACCATAACTCAAGCTCTTAAGCTTCGGCAATTAGAGAGGTGCAGAGAGATCAAAAGAGAAGGTGACATATAAAGAGAAAGTTGAGCTCTTTGAGGTAAAGAGAAAGAGATGAATCCTAAAAAGAAAAAAGGTGACTCTGAATCCAAGAAAATATGCCCTTTTATCTCACCTCTCTGTTCCACAAAGTCTTTTAAATGTTTTTTTCAGGTTTTAGAGCTTAAGATGCAGAAATGGTAGCAAATAAACTTTTTTCAGATATTTTTCTCTCTGATTGAAAACCATGCTTGAGCATTTCGATCGGAAGAAGTGTTTGGTGTAAGGTCGCTCTTCATATATTTCTCCTTTTTTCAAAAGCTTTAATGCTGTACTTATACTTTAGAGCATGAATTGGGGTCCTCGTAGGTTAAAACTAAAAGTGAAAATTGCTGCTTTTTAGAACAATAAAGTTGTCTGCTTTACATTTTGATATTGCAACTGCACCAACTTTTCTCTTGATCGGCCATGGCCAGGTACTGTTTCGCTGTGAAAGTGATCGTCTTTCCTCTTTTGTTTCATTGAAAAAGACAATAATGCCCTTTACATTTGGCTCCATCTCTTGCAGAGTCAAAAGCTCATGGGGCTTGTCATGGTGCGTAAGCTTGAAGTCATCTCCTTAAAAGTGTAAACTTGTCAAATCTTCTTGAAACTTTCATGGTTTTTTTTTATTTTGTTTAATTTTATTTTTGTGTGTGTGAAGGCAATGGCCGGTGGAGAATCTCCGGTTGCGGCTGAGGCCGGTACGGTGTCCGAAGCTGGGCCATTTGGTTTAACTTTTCCAACCAGGTTTGGCTTTTTTTCTTTCTTTTATTATATAGTTTAGATATTCTTTGAATATTCAGACCTGCATCATTATCTGTCTAATTCTCCTAATTTCTCGATCCAAGAACATCATGATTACACATGTGCAACCCTGTGTTTGACCCTTTTTCATGAAATTAAATAGACAAAATCTCTCAAAATATCTTTATATCAGCCAATAACATATTAACAATCATTTTCATCTATATAATAAACAAGGAAAAACATCACAATATGATTTTATAGGCTTGGAGAATTATTCAAGATCCTTTGAGTTTACTGGCTCGTTTGTTGAAGAGTAGGTATTTTCCTGGGAATTGCTTCAAGAATGCTAGTATTGGAACCAGACCATCTTTTGGATGGAGAAGTATTCGCCATGGTTTTGAGTTGTTAGCTAAGGGTTTGAAACCGATGGTAGGGAATGGGAATACAATCAAAGTTTGGGTTGATGCTTGGGTTGATGCTTGGGTTGATGATGGACATTTGCGACCTCCCTGGAGAAGAAACAGAACTTTTGATGTTAACTTAATGGCTAAAGATCTTATAGATTTCAATATCAGAGATTGGGACTTGCGCAAGCTGATGCAGATTTTCATGCCTCCTGACATAGCTAGGATCTGTGTTACTAAACCTGTTGTTTCTCGTGAAGATTTCTGGGTTTGGAAGCATAATCGCTCTGGTGATTATTCAATTAAATCAGGGTATTGGCTTGCCTGTCAGATTCATAAAGCGGATTTGCAAAGGGAAGTCTCTTGTTTACCTTCTTTAAATGATCTCAAATCTCAGATATGGGATATTGCAACTGAGCCAAAGATTAAAACCTTCTTGTGGAAAGTGTTAAGTGGGGCAACTCCCGTAGCTGTAAATTTATCTGCTAGGAGTATGAAAGTTGATGGTGTTTGTCAAATTTGTGGAGCTGCAGAAGAAACAGTAAATCACGTGCTCTTTGTTTGTCCTTTTGCAAGACAGGTATGGGCCTTATCTAATATTCCTTCTCGGAATCAAGGTTTTGATCAAGTGTCTGAATTTGCGAATTTTCAGTTCTTATTGCTGACTTCAAAAAGGACGGACTTTCCAAAAGAGATTAGAGAATGTTTTCCTTGGATCTTATGGAATATTTGGAAAAATAGAAATAGTTTGATCTTTGAAGGGAAGTTCTCTAATGCTTTTCAGCTTTGGTTACAAAGTTGTAAGGATGTTTTAGCCTGGTCTGTTGCTCAATCAGTTGAACGAGAAGCTGAATCTCAAGAGGAGATTATAAAGTCGGCAAATGAGTTACGCTGGAAGAAGCCTCTCTGTAGTTGGCTAAAATGCAACATTGGGTCTTCTTGGTCGAAAGGAGAAAAAAAGGGGAGGTGCTGCGTGGGTTGTTAGAGATGAATTCGGAAAGGTTTTGCTGCATAGTAGAAGATCTTTCGTAAATGTTCGAAGTTTGGCGGAGGCCAATTTTAGAGGTATTCTCTGGGCAATGGAATCTAAGATTTTGTTTGCTGCTGATATGAAAGATCTAGTTGGTGCAGTGTCAAGACCAAACGCTTGGCCTTCTTTTAGCTATCAGGTTTCGGAAATTTACTTGGTGTTGGATAATTTTTTGGAATGGAGGTTAGATTATGAAGATCCATCTGCTAATAAAGGAGCTTTCTTCATTGCTCAAAGTGTCATTAAGAAGAATCTGTGGCAATCTTATGTTGCTGCAGGTTTTCCGTGCTGGTTGTCTTCGGTCTTTGTTAACGAAGAAAGGTGATCCTTTGTGCTTGCTTGTTTCTCTTTTTATGTGTTTCCACTTTTCAATGCCTGTAAGCAGAGTTATGCTAGTTCGCTCTTCATCTTGTACGGTTTACTCTGTTTTTATCTTGTTGGATATTGTAAAACCAAACCTTCTTGTTCTAATATTATTCCAGATGACAAAAAAACAAAAAAAGATTTTATAACCACCCGTTTTTAGAAAAAGCCAAACAAGATAAAATCAAACAAACAGAATTTGACTAATTTTCAGTCTCATAAGAAGAAAAAACAAAAACAGCTAAAATGACCAGTAGTCTCTCGTCTCCTCTTTGACAACAAGAAAAAAAAAAAAAATCTATAATTAGCAATTACAAGAAAAGAAAGAAAGAAGAACACGTTGTAGCTCTCACCTATTAATGCAATATAAAAACACAAAAACACATGAGGAACATAAACATTTTGTGAAAAAGAAAAGGAGAGAGAGAGAGAGAGAGAGAGAGAGGCCGGCCAAAACCTTTTTGGGGGATTTTAGAGAATCCCGTTAAAACTCTACAATGGCCGGCCGCGAGAAACAATTGGACTATATTACGAGTACGTCCCGGTACGGTAACGTAGTATGTTATAACCAAACGATTGCGAAAACAATCGGAGATGCTAATGGATGGGAGAACGCAAGTTCGCTTGCAGCCGTACTTCCTATTTTCGTAACGCAACTATTTGTCGCCAATTTTACGTACCGCATTATCTACTATTTGACCCGGCCGCTACTTCTTCCTCCTTTCGTCGCTCAAATCCTTGTGAGACGTTACAACAAAATTCTCAAATCTTGATTTTTTTTTTCATTTTTCATTTTTCCCCTCATAAGCATTTTTGTAATGTTATTATTTTGTTTTTTTTGCTGTTTTACATTTGCAGTGCGGGTTACTGTTCAGCCCGACGGTGATCGGCAGAAGCGAGTTTGTCCTCTATTATATCTTCCCGTATAGATTCACAATGGTCCTCGAGACATTCGCAAACTTAGCTCTCGTCTACAACATTTTCCTCCTCGGTCTCGGTATGGACTTGAGGATGATAAGAATCAAAGAACTCAAACCAGTGGTCATAGCCATCGTTGGCCTCCTTGTGGCTTTATCGGCCGGTGCTGGCTTCTATTACCTTCCCGGTAACGGAGACATCGACAAGATATTCGGAGGTTGTGTCTTCTGGTCCGTTGCGTTTGGCTGTACGAACTTCCCTGACCTTGCCAAGATTCTTGCCGATCTCAAGCTCTTGCGTACGGATATGGGACGTACCGCCATGTGTGCAGCCGTTATCACGGATTTGTGCACTTGGGTTTTACTCGTTATCGGAATCGCAAGTGTGACCAAACAAGGTAATGCTATGATCGTTCCCTTTGCTACATTCCTTAACAATTTTTAGTTGTAGCTGAAACCAAAATGTATGAATACCACCTAGCTTCTTATTTTTTTCATCGTTTGGATCCAAGTAATTAATCACACTAATTAATGATGTCTTACTACAAACCCGATAAAAATTTCTAAACCGACTAAATGTATGGTGCAAAACAAAAGTTATTTATACTTGCTATTTTTGAATAGAAAATTTGGCATATAAAAATCACGATATCCTATAAAAGAACATAAAAGTTGCTAAGAAAAAAATCTAAATAAAAACCTGTAAAAGCTCTATATTCTGATTATAGTTGGTCGTTCACATTCATACACGTAGGTACGTATCATTCTGACATTAGTACTAACGAATTTTAATTTAAACATGATAATACATATATAGGTCTGTGGAACGAGAAGATGCCATACGCAATACTATCAACCATGGCGTTCGTCCCTTTCTGCATCTTCGTGATGCGTCCAGGAATCGCTTGGGCCTTCGCCAACACCGTCAAAGGAGGTAACGTCGGAGACACTCACGTCTGGTTCACTCTCACAGGAGTCGCTCTCTGCGCCCTAGTCACCGACTTGTTTGGGACCCACTCAATCACCGGAGCTTTCTTGTTTGGTCTCTCGATCCCTCACGACCACATCATTCGAAACATGATCGAAGAGAAGCTCCACGATTTCCTCTCGGGGATGCTGATGCCTCTTTTCTACATCATCTGCGGTTATAGACTCGATCTTGGGTACATGTTCAAGTACACGAGCCTTGGAATGTTGGCGTTTGTGATTTCTTCGTCTTTCATGGTCAAGATTTTGTCCACTGTCGTTTGCTCCGTCTTCTTGCGTATGCCTTTGCGTGATGGTTTCGCTATTGGTGCGCTTATGAACACCAAAGGTACTATGGCACTAGTCACTCTCAATGCAGGACGTGACACCAAGGTAAATATATATATATATATACAATGTGACAAAGTTGCTGATTAGGTTTTTGGTCGATCAACTCTTTACACTAACAAAAACTAGAAAGGCTATTTTTGATTTGAAATATTTGTTTGGTGTCGCAGGCATTGGACGTAATAATGTACACACATATGACAATGGCGTTCCTAGTGATGTCAATAGTGGTGGAGCCACTTTTAGCATTTACTTACAAACCAAAGAAGAAATTGGTTTTCTATAAATACAGAACCGTTCAAAGACTCAAAGGAGAAGTAGAGTTTCGTGTATTAACCGGCGTTCATTTCCTCGCTAACGTCCCCGGCATAACCAATCTACTAAAAGTCTCTCACCCGACCAAGCAATCTCCTCTCACCGTCTTTGCAGTCCACCTTGTCGAGCTAACCGGTCGCACCACGGCTTCTTTGCTCATAATGAACGACGAGGCGAAACCCAAAGCTAACTTCTCGGACCGAGTCAGAGCGGAATCCGAACAGATCGCTGAGATGATCCAAGGTGTGGAAGCGAGCAACGAAGCCATGAAGATTCAGACCATCACCGCGGTTTCACCTTACACGACGATGCACGAAGATATTTGTTCGTTAGCCGAGGATAAACAAGTCAGCTTCATTTTGTTGCCTTACCACAAGAATCAGACCTCGGACGGTCGGTTAGGTGAAGGGAACGATGCGCTCGCGGAGATCAACCAAAACGTTCTGAGCCACGCGCCATGTTCGGTCGGGATTTTGGTCGACCGTGGCATGACGAATGTCCGGTCTGAATCCACTTCGTTCCAAGGCGAAACCACAAAGAAAGAAATCGCAATGATATTCATTGGAGGCCGGGACGATAGAGACGCTTTGGCTTATGCTTGGAGAATGGTGGGACAAGAAATGATCAAACTCACGGTTGTGAGATTTGTCCCCGGCCGGGAAGCTTTAGCCTCGGCCGGGAAATCCTCGGTTGCGTACGAGAAGGAGAGACAACTCGACGAAGAGTACATCTACGAGTTTAACTTCAAGACTATGGATGATTCGTCGGTGACTTATATAGAGAAAGTGGTTAACGATGGTCAAGAGACGATTGCATCGATTAGAGAATTGGAAGATAACCATTCTTACGATCTTTACATTGTGGGGAGAGGGTACAAAGTAGAATCACCTGTCACCACGGATTTAACAGATTGGAGTAGTACTCCGGATTTAGGGACTATAGGCGATACATTAGCATCTTCCAACTTCACAATGCAAGCTTCGGTTCTTGTGATCCAGCAATACTCAGCCGCCAATAGACAAAACGCAGAAAACAATCAAGAACATGCTGAAGGTGGAGCCAAGACCGCTCATGAAGCTAGGCCTTTTAAGGATTCTCATGACGAGGAAAAGGATGAGGAAGGGCAACAGTACCAAATGGGAATGCGCAAATGACAAGAGTTTTTCATTTATTCTCCATACTGTATACAAATCTTTCTCAACAAAATGTACCGTTTTGTAAAATTAATCACTGGATCAAGATTCAGATGGATTATATTACCGAGTTTCTCGGATGGCAGATTCGATGTGTTTAAGTAGAAACCGTTGCAGCTTCTTTCTTAAATCTTCGGCCTTCTCGTTGGTTTCCGTTTTGCTTGAGATCAGATCATCGAGCCAACGGTTTACCGCTTTAAGGTGAACAAGAAGAGACTCTTTTCCATTTAGTTCTTCCTTCTTCACCGAGAAGGACCCTTTCTTCAGTGAGTTCTCCAAGTATTTCAAGAACCATTGGCTGGAAACTTGGAGTAGCTCGTCCGCTAAACTCGCTGACTCTTTCAACCTGTTTTTGCCTTCTAAATTACTTTTGTCTAAAACAGAACCATGTTTCGTTGAATTCAATCCCACACCCTTGTGAGCTTGGTTTCTTAGACTTGTTGTCTCCTTGTGATTCAGTTTCTCGGAGGAGTTTTGTAGAACAACGTAGTGATGATTGTCTTGGTGAGCAGCAGCATCATCCTCTTGCTTTCCAGGCTCTTTGAATAAGTTGAATTGGGAAAAACCGGTCACTACCGCATCTTGAACCCAAGATGATGCATTTCTATGAGATGTTGATCTACAAGAGCCGTTGTTTCGGTTGCGAGTAAGCAACAGATGGACTGATTTGCCTGTGTTCTGTATACTGTGGTAGATGTCCAAGAACTGGCGCACAACTTTTCCTGCATATAACTTTTTAGAAGAATCACAGAGTTCGGCAAAGGACCTGTGAAAGAACAAAAGTCAATATGCTGCAGAATCGTGTAATAAAACTAACAGAAGAGAAAAACATACTGCAGACTGAGTAGAACAGACTCCATGGCAGATGCTTCCTCTAGTGCGTCTACTGCAGCCGAAACTGCTACTTGCCTATGTGATGAAACTTCCTAATAAGGAGAGAGGTTGAAAACACATGAGTACCGAATTCTCATAAACGCAAGAACTTGAAGACTGATTTAAATTCCGGTACCTTCCCGAGCGATTGAATGGTTTTTGGGAGTCCAGTCCATGAGATTCTCTGATCAGACCAAGCCCTGTGACTTGAAGGCAACTTAAAAACCGTAACCGGAGGAGCCACTGTCTTTGACAAAGACTTGGTACCATCTTTTGGAGATTTAGTAATGGATATGGGTGATGCAGGCTTAACCACATTTCTGTTTCTTAGTGTAGGGGTTTCGCAGTTAAGGTGCTTTGATGGGGACTCATTATTTGGCAGATTCTTATCATTCAACAACTGCCAAAAAAAAAAACATCAAAATCCGTAAAATCAAGAAAGATTGTGAATCATGAATACAAATTGCTGAATATTTACAAGAAGCAAAACATTTAAAATCTCTTGAGACTAGTATGTATCAATCTCAGACCATTATATAGCAACATAAAGAAGAAAGCACACACCACTTAAACACAGCTTCCACAAATCCAAAATGCAAACAAAATTGGATAAACAAAAAGTTCAGTTCACACAGTACAGAGAGGAAGAAGATGAAAGAGTGCACCAATTTGGGTTTGAGACGTGGGGAAGAAAGAGGCAATGCGGCGTCACGGCGGCGAGTCACCGGAGGAGTGTGATCCCAACAGCTTCTTCTCGCGGAATCCAAGCTCAACCTCCTCGTCTCACCAAGATTCTTCTTCTTCGTCGTCGGCGACACAGAGAGCTGAGTAAAATTAAGCAGCAAATCGCTAGAGACGAGGTCGCTAGGGTTTCCGACGCACATCCGCCGCTTCGGGACTGGCTTCAATCCACGGATTACAGGAACAGGGCATCCTTTCTCGACGTGAAAGCCGCCGCGGATGTAAACAAACTGCCCTAGCTGGATTTCGTCGGAGCGGATCAGATCGGCGTCATCACCGGCGGAAACGGCAACGTAAGCGGCGTGGAGGGAGTCAGAGACTTTGACGAAGAACCGTTCGCTACGCCATAGGTCGTCGGAGAGACAGGGAACGATCTCGATCACCTGGAGGAGTGGGGTGCGGTGAGAAGATAACAACGGCGGAGAAGAAACCATTTTTCCGGCGGCGATTTCGAGAAGGTTGGAGAGAACTCCGGGAGTAAGGCACGCCATTGTGAGTCGACGGAGAAAAACAGCATCTTTCGGGAGGAGGGAAGAAGAGTGGGGAATCTTCAAACAGACAGAGAGATGTCTCGGGGAATGTGAGGGTTCGTCGTTTAGTTTGGCGGGAAAAAGCAGAAGAGTTTTGTCAGAATGCTAAAAAGTTCTCTCTGTCTTCGAGAGATCTGGAAGGTTGCAGGAAGCTTTTGTTGGTTGCAGGTGTAAAGTAAAGCACGAGATGACTTCTCTGTCTTTTCTTATTATTATTTTTTTTTTTTTTGTTTCTTCTGAAAATCTTTATATGCACATTGTGGATTGGACTGAGCTAAGATTAAATTATCAATTGATTTATCATATCCGTGGATTATTCCACTAGGCCGTTAACTACATTGATTAAGCCCATTTGCATTACACTAATTCTTCGAAATCCAGTAACTCTATAGATTGAATATTATTTATGGTCGAAACAAAATTTTAATTCAAACACAAAAGAAAAATCTTGATGACACGTCAAAGTCATGGAAATGCTTGGAATATCGGACACAATTGAAGCGTCAGATCAATGACCATTCACTTGTGTTTGTGTTGACACTCCAACTTGTTTCTTGTCGAACGAAACTTCTTATAAATTTGTGAAGTTGCTTTAATTCTACCTTTTCTATTGATATAACCACTCCTTTTTTATGTCATACAGACTAAACATATGTGTCAAAATTGTAATCAACTCTTTATTTATTAATAAAGCAAACTAACCCTCAAAATATACCGACCTCTTACGGTACAAATATCAAAGGGATAATTATAATTTTGAAAAAAGGAAGAAGAAACGGACCAACAACTACTCTTTCTAGCTACTACTTTCGTTTATATATAGTTTGTCTCCTCATGAAAAAATAAATGAAATTCTCTCTGTATGATCAAACATGGGAAGTGAAGTAATAACCCCCATCAAGACACGGTTCGACTTAAGCATGTCAAGAAGAACCCGAAAACCATTGTCAAGTGTCATCAACGAGATGCAACAGCAAGACCTATCTACGCAAAGCTCACAACCAGATATAGAACAAGAACCGGAGGAAGACCGAGAGATTGATCGTAAGAGTTTGAACAATCTGATGAAATGCGAGCAAGAATCGAATGAAGAAGCTAATGTTAACAGCAAGAGCTCTCTAGGTCAACATTTTGGAGTCGACGAGGGGATCAACCAGTTGCAGTTGGTGGTGAAGAAAGAGAAACAAAATGGTGAAAACGGTGTGAAATTCAAAGGTATGATGGGTCGATATGTTAAAGTCTTGAGCGGTTTGATGAAGGCCAAACGTGACCGCAAAACATCGATCTTACGATTTAAAACTTGATGTCGATGGCATATACGTACGTTCATGTACGTGATCACATATGCGTATATTTAGCTGTTAGATGTGTTTTGCGTACGTATGTTGTGGGCATATTGTTTTTGACTTTTGAGGATGTAATTAGCACCATATATGTACATTAGTACACGCACCTCTTGGTTCTGAATCTCATTGTAAAATACATTTCTCACGGCCTTGAACGAATAAACCAATGCTGCTCGTTTTTTATATATATATTAAAGAAAGCTTGATTTTACCTGCATGAGCATGACTGAGAATGTTTTTTTTGTGACTAAATTGACTGAAAATGTTATAAGAAAATATCAAGATTCCTTACTATAGGTCTGTCAACAAAAAAACTGCGAAAATTCAATGCTTAGTATAAACTAATTTTTTTCCGACACATATTAGATCGGTCATCGAATAGTCTCAAACTCTCCTTTCGGTAGTTGTTTGAGTGACACATTGGATATTGGACAATTTTTTATTTGTCTGTCATAAAAACATCAAAATAATTACCAAATATTTTTGTTCTTTTTTATTCAACCATTTTTGCCAAATGTTTAAATTATTGATCACAGATAACTAAGTTTCTTAGTCACTCAAATAATGATTTGCTATTTTTATTAGAAATGATTTTTATATATTATCATACAATATCAAAACCTTTTTGTTCTAATATTATTCCAGATGACAATACAGTTTCTGTTTCTATTTTCCCAATACATTGCAGTTTACCTTTTTAATTTAACCAACAATTGTTTATTATGATCATTACAACTTATAAATACTCCAAATTAGGTAGCCTCCAAATTAGCAATGCATCATTTTTAAGAAGATGACATATAATAATACAAGAAAAATAAAGTTAAAAAAAGTTGTCTCAGATATTATTGTAATGAAAATAACTAGTGCAATTCAATATATTTTCAAATATATCAAGCTTCTATGGTATTACGTGTTAAAACAGTTTATTATAATATTGGGTGCGATTATTATTATTATATATACTTTATGGAGAATAAATAAATGAGAAAGTATCAGGTGACCTCAGCCGCAGGGAAAGGGTCGGCGGTACGTGGCAAGTTATCATTGGGTACCTTTTTACCAATAAAACTGGAGATGCATGGCCTCACCGACCGTGTTAAGTAACCTTCGCCACCGTCAAAAGCAAGAATCTTTAGTTAAAGTGCCAAATCAGCTCTTTTTCATTTACTTTGTTTTTGGGTACATTATTATTATGTATACAAATAATCATATTTATTGATTGGCTTAAAGTAAAGTTCTAAATTTATAACTAGGTTTTATTCAGCTTTGTTCACTAAATTATAAGTTTGATATCAGTTCAATTCAAAATTGAATTTGGTTGCAATACTTAATTATCAACTAAAATTACAATTAATACAAATACTTTTTGTTGCTAATATTTTATTATATCAAATTGTTAAGTGTCAGTAAGCATATACTCAAAAGTAATACTCTTAGAAAATAAATTTGGATGTCTTTGTTAATTTGATTCGTTTTAGTTTAGTTAGTTTTTTTTTTTAATATGAAAAATGTCGGTTAATTCGTTTGATACTCTGTTACTTCAGTATTAATAAAAAAATATTAGATGGTATACATTGTATAATATTAAATAACAGACGCATATTTAAATTACATCCTTGAGGATCCTAAGCAAACATGATTAAGTATTGATTCGTTACCCTTTATAAAACCAACCTCACCCTTCAACTTCTCCATCAAAACCTCAAAACTCAAAGATATAACTCTCAGAAAACGACTCAAAATCTCCAAAAAAAAGGTTTCACAAGAAAACAAACAAAGCGGAACTCAAGAAATAGATATAGGCCATGGGAAGAGATCACGAAGGAAGCCCTCCAGTTCCACTACATCTCTGCGTCTTCGTCTTCATTCTCTTAATGTTCGTAACGATTTCATGGTACGCGAGCTACGAACCAGTTATAGAAGGTCTTACGGACCAGCTCAAGCTTGCTCTCATGGCTTCCCCTCTGCTTTTGCTCTTGGCCGTCCATTTTCTATCCAACGATGGAGGAGGAGGGGTGATGACGTCATTGATCCCTCTGGACGAGAGAGAATCATTGCACAGAGCTGGAGGAACGCCGTGGGGAGTGGCCTTCATGCTTGTCTTTCTCTTCTTCATGGTTTCTTATCAATCTCAGTTTCAAGAACGTTGGTTTCCTATTCTATGAAAAACGTCATCGTTTTGGGCTTTTTCTACTTTCTCGCCTTTCTGTTTCGGTCTAGTATAATGGGATTCTTGATGTATGTTATTGCTTTTTTTTTTTTAATTTTGAAATTACCAGTTATACATACCACTTTATGTAATCTTTTAACCTTTCGTCTCATGGTATAGAATCATTTCTTTTGGTGTATGCACCATATAAATATATATGGACAGTTAAGTATACAAACACTTTTTTATAAGGGATGATTTACGCTATATGTTCGTAGATACGGGTTTCAATCCAATTTTGATTAATAAAACAAATGATTGAATTTCTTATTAGATCAAGATTCAAGAAGGAGAACCTTGGTCCAAGACCATCATTTTTCTTTAGTTGTTATTGGTATGAAAAAATTACTGGAGCTAAAGAAAAACACGACTGTACTGTGTAATAAAATTAGTTTAAAAAAACTTATAGTAGCTATATACATAATTAATTGATGGAGCGTAAACTACTACGGATAGAACTATATCCGGTGATTCTGAGAATACTCAGAAACTAGGGGTTTGTGAATACTTTACAGTAGTTTATCAAAACCTTTTTTAGTGAATTCCTTTTATTAATTCATTAAATCTGAATAATACAAAAAATCAAAATGGCTATTTATAACAAATCTTAGAAAATCTTAAAATCTTAAAAACCATAAAATAATAATTAAATAACTAATATAAATAAAATACAAATATTTAATAAATATTTTGAATATACGCTGCATCAATAATTAAATCGGTTTTCTAATTTTTCCTTCACTTACTACAATTTTTTTTTTTCAATTCATATCCAATATCAACTAATGGTTTGTATGTAGAAAGGAAAATTTTCGAATGAGTATTTCATATTTCATGTTCAATTCAATGGATGAGAATAAGAAAAGTTTGTCATTCTCAAAACTAAGTTTGATGAGCATAAATACATCGGACTACGTATACGACCCAGCATCTTCTAACGAATAATAGCGTAACAACATTGGAATTATGGAGGGGATGTCGTTGACATTCCTGAATGGTTGAAATGAAAATGCTGCAACCAATACATTAAAAAGAATAAAAACATTGGCGCCTCTCTGTCTTGTTCTCATATTTCTATGCAATTTTAAGTCTCTCCCATTCTCGTCGTTCTGTTCTTCTCCCATCGCAGTTTCTTGCCTGTTTGACCATCCGCTAGCTTCTTTTGTCCTTCTTTCGTTCAGGTGATCATTGGTTTGTTTTTTTTTCGCAATTCTTGAATTCGGTAGCTTATGGGTTTGCGTTTTCTTGTTTTCCTTGCGTGACTAATCCTAATCTGATTCAAAGCTTAAATCCTTTTACGATTAAATCAAGATTTTATTGTGTCTCGCTATTGATGGTTGAAGCTGGTCGTGACTTGTGATACAAGGTTTTGAGTGATTAGGTATTGTGATAAAGTTGTACTTTACACGTCTTATCCTACTTTATTTTCGTCTGGTCGGATCCTTTTTTTTTTAAAGTGAAAAACAACTTTTAGCATCCCTTTTCAATGTCGATTTTATTAATTGGAGTGAATCTCATCTTGCTTCGGAATGAAGTAATTCAAGTTTTTATTTTCGTCCGTTCGCTATTTAAGGGCACTCTCTGTCTTTTCCATTTGAAGAGCTCAATTATGTTTTGATCTTTTTCAGTTCATATAGTCCTCAAAGTTTGTTCTTGATTTCGATTTGAGTCCAAATACTTGTTTCTTTTTGGTTTGGTTTTAGGAGGATTTAAAGCATGTCTCAAAGGATAGGACCTGATCCGCCTCCACCACATATGCGAATTCTGCGGACTCAACCTGCTGGTAATCTCGGAGAGGCTTTTGACAGTGAAGTGGTGCCATCGTCTATCGTGGAGGTTGCTCCGCTCCTTCTTGCAGCCAATGAAGTAGAAGCTATTAACCCTCGTGTTGCTTACTTATGTGAGTTGAAGTAATATAAAAATCTCCTCATGATGTGATAAATTCAAAAATGATCTTCAAAAAATCTTTGGATGCTTCTCTCTCAGGTCGGTTTTATGCGTTTGACAAGGCAAACAAGATTGATCCAACATCAAGTGGACGTGGTGTTCGCCAATTTAAGAGTGATCTTCTCCAACGCTTAGAACAGGTGAATATCATTTCTTCGTTAGTTTACGCTTCTTGAGTTTCATTCTTCAGGATTATGTGTCAAGTTACCTAATTTCTTAAAATCTTGTGCAGGAGAATGAGACAACTCCTGCAGGAACGCAGAAGAGTGATGCACGCGAAATGCAAAGTTTCTATCAACACTACGACAAGAAATATATCCAACAATTGCTAAACGCTGATGATAACACTGACCGGTCTGTGTTTGATTGAACTGTTAAGTCGGATCCCTTTCTGTGTTTTTCTTTCATAAATACAATTTGCTGTCTTTTTTTTACTTGTAGTACTCAACTTACAAAGGCATATCAAACCGCTGCTGTTCTCTTTGAAGTCTTGAAGGCTCTTAATCAGACAGAAGATGTAGAAGTGGCTGATCATGAGGTGAATCTGATATTAGAACATATTTTTCAGTACTTAAGGATGATTGAACACCAGTATAAAAAAAAAAATACAATGTTTTTTGCTCGGATCACTATGTGATTGCACTCTCTGTCTATTCTAATTCAAAAGCTTATATATGGTTTGCTCTCTTTCAGTTCATATAGCTCTCAAAGTTTGTTCTTGATGGTGGCGTAAAAGCTTTTTCGAGTTGACAAATATACAATAGTACTTCATCATATTTGTTTACTTTTTCATATTTTTTTGTTGGGAGGATTTAGAAGATATCTCAAATTGCTGGTAATCTCGGAGAGACTTTTGATAGTGAAGTGGTGCCATCGTCTATTGTGGAGGTTGCTCCGATTCTTCGTGTAGCCAATGATGTAGAAGCTATTAACCCTCGTGTTGCTTACTTATGTGAGTTTATTTAATGTAAAAAAGTCTCCTCATGATGTGATCATCTCAATGAAAAATATAATCTTTGGATGGTTCTCTCAGGTCGGTTTTATGCGTTTGAGATGGCACATAAGGCTGATCCCACGTCAAGTGGACGTGGTGTTCGCCAATTTAAGACTGCGATTCTTCAACGCTTAGAACGGGTGAATATCATCACTTCACTCTGCTTTGATTTTCATTTTCATGTTATTATCTTGCCTATAAAATTCTTGCTGCATGAGGTGTTATGTGTCAGCTTAGCTTCATTTCTAAAATTGCGCAGGAGAATGAAAAAAATCCTGCAGGAACGCAGAAGAGTGATGCACGCGAAATGCGAAGTTTCTATCAACACTACTACAAGAACTATATCCAACCTTTGCTAAACGCTGCTGACAAAGCTGACCGGTTTGTGTTTAATGGAAACTGTTTATTCGGATTTGTGTTTTATCTCTATTGTAATCTATTTATCTGTTCATAAATACATTTTTCTTTTTTTTACTTGTAGTGTTCAACTTTCAAAGGCATATCAAACTGAGGCCATTCTCTTTGAAATTATAAAGTCTACTAATCAGACAGAAGATGTGGATGTGGCTAATGGGGTGAACATTATATTAAATCATATCTTTTAGTATTTAAACCTCTTACTTATGTTCTCATGCAAGTCTTTTAGCCATGCTTTCATGGAGAACATTTTCGTATTTTTATGAACTGTTTTACCAAATTACTGGCTCACTTGTTTCCGTTCATCATTTTTTTTTGTTTTGTTGGTAGATTTTGGAAGCTCACAAAAAGGTCGAAGAAGAAAAAAGCCAAATTCACACGCGTTGAAACATTCTTCCCTTGATCATGATAGTCAAAATCAGGCTATAATAAGATTTCCTGAGGTTAACCAAACATTACATTAAGTGTTTCGATGTTTAATTATCTTCTTGACTTTCTCCTTGGATCATAAGGAACTCATGATGTATGTTGAATGAGTTTCTCCTTACAAGTTATAAACTTTTATATCATATTTTAATCTCTTGGTATATAATAATTTCTCATATTATGATGTATGTTGACTGAATCTCTTGTCGCAGTGAACTGTTCACGAACTTAAAAAGCACCTCATCGAGGGTCTCTTATAAAGTTTTTCAAAATGTGAGAGACCTATTCAAAAATATCTCAAATGAAATACTTTAAAAGAACATTGAAATAAGAGTGCCATAAACTAGCTTTTTGATGTCAAAAACCGGCCAGAAGTATGCAACAATGCATACACGTCTATATATATATCACCGATGGGATCTAATTATATAGTATTACTGTTTTCAAACCTTAACGATAGTAATTGTTAGAGTTTGTAGAATAAAAAGGTAAAAAACTTGGAAATGGTATATGTGCATGATCCTTAAAGATCTTTTCTTTTATCAACTAAATATCTTATATTTTGTAACATTTTTTATAGAGTTTTAATTATTGATAATTTTGGTATTTAACAGATACGAGTTTAATTAATATATAGAACAACTATATTCAGAACAGTGTTAGCAAAAAAAAAAAAAAAAACTATTCAGAACATTGGAGAACAAAAAACTCATTTTAACCATTTTTTTGTCAATACCAATTTCTTCTACTTTTTTTTTTTTGGTAATAATGTTATTCTTCTACTTTTATTATATTGATAGTCACCCTACTGATTGATTACAGTTTTGTTACATAGTGTAATTTCCCTAATATTATCAGAGTATAAGGTTAAACCCTTTTTGTCAACTTTTAAAATATTGAATGTCATGATGTTGAAGCATCGATATATTTCTAGAGAAAATATGACGTGTCCTTTACTTTGACCGGATAAGGTCTAACGAGATATTACGTCCGTTACTTCCACGTCTCTGCCTTTGGTCTAATACGCAAGGCGCGCTTGCTCTCTATAAATCCAGTTAACTTTTTGCATGAACTTAAATTTGTCAATCTCAAAACTCATCCTCAAATCTTGACACAACCTCAAAAAAAGAAAGAAAAAACATTTTCTGAACCTTATCTCGTAATCGAGTATTGTTTATCGATTATAAACAAATGGAAGGAGGCTTGGGAACGATGTTGATGAAAGTGGTCTTATTTGCTCTGGTTCAAGGCTTGGTGTATCTCATCCTCTCGAAATCCTCGAGGGTTTTCTCTAAATCGAATTCTTTGAAGAGGGCTTACAGTTTCCGGCCGGCGAGGTCCGTTAGCATCCGCCGGATTCTGGCAGCGCTTCAGGATATGCCTGCCGGCGGCGAGGTATCTCCTTCGTCTAATGGCTCTTCTTCTTCTTCTTCTTCTTCTTCTTCTTCTCTTCTTTTGCCTTCTTCACAAGATGAGGCAGCAACAACCACAGCTACATGATCATCAGTTCATCACCATCTTAGAGACATATATATAGATGGTAATTATTTGATTTATTTTTAGAGCTAGGCATATTTCTTTGTCCTATTATTTGATTTTTGTATTTTGTATTTGTTTCGTTATATAATTATATTGATGTAAAATTGAATAATACTCTAATGTAGATGTACTGTACATATATGATTGATTTATATATGTTGACCAATATTAAGCAGTACTATTTTTATTTTTATTGTTATATGTTTTGAAATAAGTTCAGGAATGAATTGTAAAGAAATGTTTAAATTATAAGTACGGTGATTTTTTAACTCGTAAATCACTTCACGTAAAACCGACCAGGCATTGGATTTGTATGGAGAATCACATTCTCTTTGAGAATAAATGAAACCTCGAAAGGAAAAGTATTCGTGTTCATGGACACAAAAATTCTTTATAAATTTATTTTAAGAATTTTAAATAAGCTATTTTTATTTTATCCACAAAAAATTATAATAACCAAAAACATTTTGATAACTTTATTTAAATTTTCAAAATGTTCAATAAAATATAAATTAAAAATTATTTTTGTAAATTAAATTTATTTTAAAAATTGTTTTTAAAAAGCTATGTGAAAAAATAAATAGTAAAAAAATTAGAAAAAACTTATATATTTTACAAGTTACAACCTAAACTACTTGAACGTGTTGCATGATAGCTTTCTATTTTGGAATTGAAACAGAATCAGTATCTAAACTTTTTAAAAAAATTTACTTAGGTATTTTTCAAAATTGATTTGAGAGTGTGTTGAAAACTTATATTTTCGTTTGAAAAACTTAGGTTTTCTTTCCAAAAGTGTGGTGTTGTAAATAGATAGAAATCTCAAGGTTGTGTTTGATATATTCTAACTAAAACTCAAAATCTAATTTTGTGATTTTGCAGTTGCATACACTATTATTTGTCTTATAATTATACAAACTCTTGTTTAAAAAAACGGTTTGAATCATATATTTAAGATGTTTAAATGATTAATTTTAATAATTGAATTAAATGGAATTAGTTTAAGCAGGGTTTTGATGAATTTTTTCTTGGCAGAAAAGAGTTTGAAATAGTGTTTTAGGGAATTGAGAAAAATGAGAATGAAGATGGTGATCTAGATTTTTTGACTTTGAATGGATCGCTATTTTTATTGAGCTATATATATATATATATATATAAATTGATACTGAATTTGTTTTTCTGATAATAATTGTTTTAAAGTATGGTGTGGTGTATAATTTGTTTTGTAGTTTATGTGTACATATGTATTATAAAAATATATAATGGCTCCAACACATACTATTTTTTTAAGTTTCGTTTCTACACATTTTGAATTTACAGATCTCCCTACGAGTGTATACAATCTTCTAATATACAATGCAATACATGTTAAAAGAGAAATATATCGCAAATACAAAAGAATATAATCATGCAATTTAGAGTAAAACTTATATATATTTTTCTTAAATATACGATATTATTCCTTATATTTTATTTGTTTTTTAGTATCACATGATATTTTCATAGCCTAAATATGTATACGGATATTTTACCGATTATGCTTTATACTTGTGTTTACTATAAAATGCAACTTCCTCATACTAATTGTTACAAGTTAATTCTAATATTATAGCTCTACTTTCTTTCTCTCTAAATTCTAGTTTTTTCGTTTAGAATTCCTGAAAAAAATGAAGAACTTTATGCAATTAATCTGTACATTCTTTTTCGTAGCCATATTGTTTACGACGCCAGGTATACAAAGTTCAGCTTCCCACAAATATTAAATTATAACCAAAGCTACTAATACAAGTTCAACTCTGTGATCATAAATTTAAATTATTACTGAATAAGAAAAATGTATTATTTTTTAGGTGTGAAAATGGTTCAAGGACAACGAATGTGCGAAGCAAAAAGCCTAAATTTTAGAGGAATGTGTATGAAGTGGAGGACTTGCAAATTCGTATGTCTAAGCGAAGGTTTTACTGATGGTCGATGCGAAGGATTTATCCGTCATTGTATTTGCAGGAAACCTTGCATGGTTTCTACTTGAACTAAGTTTAATTATTGAGAATGGATAATAAACAAAATATCTAATTATTAGAGTTATTAAAAGGATAAAGTATACGTGTATTCGAAACTCAATTTTTAATATAGTTACTTAGTAGCTTTGGTCAATATCGCTATTAAAAGAGGTTTTCGTTTGATTTTCGTGGAAGTACACATGTGGCTGATGTGTAAATTTGCTTTGATTATTTTTTTGTCAACAACAATTTCTTCTATTTTTATTATATTGGTAGTCATCCTAGTTTTGTTACGTAGTGTAATTTCCCTAATTATATCATATTATAACGTTAAACCTTTTTTTGTCAACTTTTAAACTATTGAATGTTAATAATGTTCGAACATCGATAGATTTCTAGAGAAATATGACCGGATAAGGTCTAAGACCAACCCCAATGGTGATCACCAAAGGTCTAAAACATGGTTCTTAACAATATAATAGAATAAAAAAATTGTAAAGAGTGTCTAAAATTTAAGATCAGTATCTAAATTAGGATCTTTTTTTTGGATTAAGAACAGCCACGTGGCAAGTTCTGAGTGGATATAAAGAAATGAATTTTTTTTTGCCATTTATTATGTTTTAAAAATTGTTAACATGTTAAGAGTTGTTAAGATGTATTATGTTTTAAAAGTTGTTAAGATAAGTGTATTTAAATTTATTTTAAAAAAAATAATTTTTTTTAAGACACCCATCAAAAATGTCTCCATTATATGCCTAAAAACAATAAAATATTACAAAATATCTAATATACATAAAGTACATAAAATATTAATAATTAATCAATAAAACTCCATTACTAGTGTTTCTATTAGGATTGCTCTAACTATATTACGTCCGTTACTTCCACGTCTTTGCCTTTAGTCTAATACGCAAGGCGCGCTTGCTCTCTATAATTCAGTTAACTTTTTGCATGAACTTAAATTTGTCAATCTCAAAACTCATCCTCAAATCTTGACATAACATTTTCTGAACCTTATCTCGTGAGTACTGTTTAATTATATAATTATATTGATGTAAAATTGAATAGTACTCTAATGTAGATGTACTGTACATATATGATTGATTTATATGTTGACCAATATTAAGCCGTACTATATTTTTTGTTTATTGTTATATGTTTTGAAATAAGTTCTGGAATGAATTGTAAAGAAATGTTTAAATTATAAATACGGTAATTTTTCAACTTGCAAATCACTTCACGAAAAATCGACCAGGCATTGGATGCATTTGTACGGAGAATCATATTCTATTTGAGAACAAGTGACATCCCGAGAGAAAAAATATACGTCTACATGGACACAAAAATTCCTTATAAATTTGTTTTAAGAATTTTAAATAGATTATTTTTTTACCCACAAATTTTTTTAATAGCCAACAACATTTTGTTAACTTTATTTACATTTTCAAAATGTTCAATATAATATAAATTAAAATAAAATATAAAAATAAAATAAATTTATTAAAAGTAATTTTTAAAAAAGTTATGTGAAAAAATATTTAGTAAAAAATTAGAAAAGCTTATATATTTTTTTTGTTAAAGAAAAGCTTATATATTTTACAAGTTACAATCTAAACTACTTGAAAGTGTTGCCGCATGATGGCTTTCTATTTTGGAATTGATACAGAATCCGAATCTAAACTTTAAAAAAATAATTATTTAGGTATTTTACAAAAATTGATTTGAGAGTGCGTTGAAAACTTATATTTTGGTTTAAAAATCTTTGGTTTTCATTCCAAAAGTATGGTGTTGTAGATAGATAGAAATCTTAAGGTTGTGTTTGATATATTCTAACTAAATACTCAAAATCTAATTTTGTGATTTTGCAGTTGCATACACTACTATTTGTCTTATAATTATACAAACTCTTGTTTAAAAAGTAGTTTGAATCATATATTTAAGATGTTTAAATGATTAATTTTATTAATTGAATTAAATGGAATTAGTTTAAACAGGGTTTTGATGAATTTTTTCTCATGGAAGCAAAGAGTTTGAAATAGTGTTTTAGGGAATTGAGAAAAATGAGAATGAAGATGGTGATCTAGATTTTTTGATTTTGAATGGATCGTTATTTTTATTAAGCTATATAAAGATTGATACTGAATTTGTTTTTCTGATAATAATTGTTTTCAAGTATGGTGTGGTGTATAATTTGTTTCATAGTTTATGTGTATATATGTATTATAAAATATATATAATGGCTCCAACACATACCTTTTTTTTTAAGTTTCGTTTCTGAACATTTCGATTTTATAGATCTCCCTATGATTGTATACAATCTTCTAGTATACAATGCAATACATGTAAAAAGAGATATATATCGCAAATACAAAAAGAATATAATCATGCAACTTAGAGTAAAATTTATATATATTTTTCTTAAATATATGATATTATTCCTTATACTTTATTTGTTTTTTAGTATCACATGACATTTTCATATTCTAAATATGTATATAGATATCTTACCGATTATGCTTTATACTTGTGTTTACTATAAAATGCAACTTCCTCATACTAATTGTTACAAGTTAGTTCTAATATCATAGCTCTACTTTCTTTCTCTCTAAATTCTAGTTTTTCGTTTAAAAAATTCCTGAAAAAAATGAAGAACTTTATGCAATTAATCTGTACACTCTTCTTCGTAGCCATATTGTTTACGACGCCAGGTATACAAGTTCAATTTCCCACAATATTAAATTATAACCAAAACTACTCATACAAGTTCAACACTGTGATCATAAATTTAAATTATTATTGAATAACAAAAATGTATTATTTTTTAGGTATGAAAATGGTTCAAGGACAACAAATGTGTGAAGCAAAAAGCCTAAATTTTAGAGGAATGTGTATGAAGTGGAGGACTTGCAAATTCGTATGTCTAAGCGAAGGTTTCACTGATGGTCGATGCAAAGGATTTATCCGTCATTGCATCTGCAGGAAACCTTGCATGGTTTCTACTTGAACTAAGTTTAATTATTGCCAATATAGCTAATAAACAAAATGTCTAATTATTAGAGTTATTGAAATAATAAAGTATGTGTATTCAAAACTCAATTTTAATATAATACTTACTAGCTTTGGTCATTTGATCACGATCGCTTATACATATCTTTTCATCAATTTAATATCAAAATTTCAAACATGCATCAAGTAAACTAAGTCCAATGAAACTTGGAGCCTGACATATCATCAATCCACCAATAAAAAAGAAAATGACTAAACGCTTCCTTCTCGTCCACAATCAGAATTATGCATATTAGATGGTTGAATAAGAATCATTAGCCGAAACAGAGATTGCTTCAGCTTCCAATTTTTTCAAATTCTCATGAGCTAAGGGGGATTTTTGTTCCAAAAAGAGATGATTCCATTCGACAAAACAGAGGTTTTCGTTTGATTTTTGTGGAAGTACACATGTGGCTGATGTGTAATTTTTCTTTGATTATTCTTTCATAAATAAGAAAATCTGTAATCGGACTGAAAAATTTCATACAGAAATTCAGAGTTCCTGTACAGTCTCTGTTACGTATACACAGATAAGAACATTGAGAAACTCTTTCAGTATCCTTGTTTGCAAAAACTTCTAGTCACAGAGTTGGAGTAGCAGAGATAAGATTCTTACAAGATATTAATATGAAGCCCTCTATGATCTAAAACACGAATGTTTGGATCCGTTTGAATGGAAGGATTCGAATGATTTGATGGAATATTATTCGGTTTGGAGTGGGGTAAGGGGAACGCGTGAAGATGGAAGTAAACAAGAGATGCGGATGGTTCTTGTGTACAACTGATAGAAACAAATGATATGACATACCAATCATTCAACCATGGTTTCTCAAGGATATGACTCACCGTGAGAGATGATCTATTTTGTAAAAGATTTTATTTAGAAGATAGATCAATTGAACTCTTCTCTCAAACACAGTTTTAAGGAGAGAAGAGGAGACACAATATTTAAGCACACCAATGAATTAGTCTCGTAACAAATCCCCTTGACTGATCATGCAAAGACTAAGTTTGAAAACATAAGAAAACAGCTAAGTACAAACTAGATTCTAGATCTTCCAAGCCACATATGGTAGAATGAAGTGAGCTTGGAAAAATGACAAGCTAATGGGCAATAACATTGTTGGAACACTTGTCTTGTTAAAAACCTTAATGAGAAAACCCAATAGGACAAAACTCATGAAGGAAAAAAGAACACAAAATACCCCACAAACCCATTAGCTAGTCGTCGACTCTTATACAAACCAAAACGGTGTGTTTAGCCTTTTCAATACTTGGATCATATTTAAGTTGATTAACTAGAACCTCTAAGGAATTTTGAAATGTTTTAGTCTTAGACCAGATCATGGAACCATTTAGAACCTCTAGATCCTCTTCAGCTACAAGCTTAGTCTTCTCTTGTTCCTCCTCAGCTACAAGCTTGTATCCTAAGTTAGAGTCTTTCATGATCATATCAGATATGGAACTCAATGTTCCTTGTAGTGTTCTCCAAGAACTTCATTCATCAACCTGTAAAAACAAGAATAACTAACTATATTGATCACCCGAAATGATGAAAGAAAAATGCAGAGTACAGAGAAAGGATTGATGATTTCAAGACTGTTACTCAGATCAAGTGTCAAATTTTTTGAATCGAAACTTGGAGCGGCCAAAGTGTAAACAAAATTAGTAAAAAATTAGAAAAGCCTATATATTTTACTAGTTATCACCTAAACTACTTGAAAGTGTTGCTGTATGATGGTTGGAGTTGAAAAAGAATCAGAATCTAAAACTTTTTCAAAACTTACTTAGGTATTTCAAAAATTGATTTGAAAGTGCGTTAAAAACTTATATTTTCGTTTAAAAAGCTTAGGTTTTCATTCCAAAAGTATGGTGTTGTAAATCAATAGAAATCTTAAGGTTGTGTTTGATATATTCTAACTGAAAACTCAAAATCTAATTTTGTGATTTTGCAGTTGCATAAACTATTATCAACACTATGATAGCTCAAATGTCTCTCCATGTGTTGACATCTCAGCTTTTGTGTTATTAGAAGCTGTTACATCAGCAAAATACTGAATTTATTAAAACATTTCATTGATATACTTTATC